ATGTATTTATTGTTGTATTATTTTTTGATTATATATCTTTAAATGTAAGTCTTTTATTGTCTTTTGTGATACATTTTTGAAAAATAATATGAAATTAAAAAAAACAAGTAAATGGGGGACCTAGCATTCCACCCCAGTTCCCATCCATTAGCGGTGGATGGGGGCCCTAATTGATAATGTGGGTTCCTCCCCGGGTTCACACCCATTAGCCGCGGGCAGGGACCCTAAGTGAAAAGGGTGGGGGCCTATTGTTTCCCCATGGCCAATACCCATTAGCGGAAGGTGGGGAACCCAAGTGATAAGAGGGGGGACCTATTGTCTCCCCCTGACTCCTATCCAGTAGTGTGTACATGAAAATGTCTGCAGGGACTCACTATACTCACCAGAACAACTACATTAAGCTGTAGATGTGGTGAATATAGTGTCCCAAATCAAGAGGCATCAATTGCCCTGACCACCCACTTTGCAAAGACTTATAACTGAGTTGCATTGGAATGTTTCTGATTGGACAGAGAATGACTGGGTGGGGTTGGAAGGGGATGGCTTGTAAAGGCAGCTGACAAGAGATGAGCAATTTTTGCCAAATGTTTTTAGATATAACCCCAATTAAATGCATAATTAAATGCATGCATGTTTTCATTGGGACATATCTACTAAATAGTGATTTTTTTGTTGGTAGTGAAGTGCCCCTTTAAGGCTATTGATAGCCCTTATTACCGATGAATTTGTGTTTTTTGTGTGAATTGATGATAAACAGCTCTTGGTGCATAGTGACACAAAGGGTATAAGTAGGGGGTAATGAAATAGATAGTAGTTGGGGTTGCTGTGTTATGAGATACTAGTTGCCTTGGTTATCTCTGTAGTTGGAGTTGCTGAGATAATACACTGCCCTGGTTATGTCTGTAGTTAGGGTCGCTGTGTGATGAGATAATACACAGTTCTGGTTATCTCTATAGTTGGGGTTGCTGTGTGATGAGATAATACACAGTTCTGGTTATCTCTGTAGTTGGGGGTTGCTGTGTGATGGGATAATACACAGTTCTGGTTATCTCTGTAGTTGGGGGTCGCTGTGTGATGAGATAATACACAGTTCTGGTTATCTCTATAGTTGGGGTTGCTGTGTGATGAGATAATACACAGTTCTGGTTATCTCTGTAGTTGGGGGTTGCTGTGTGATGAGATAATACACAGTTCTGGTTATCTCTGTAGTTGGGGGTTGCTGTGTGATGGGATAATACACAGTTCTGGTTATCTCTATAGTTGGGGTTGCTGTGTGATGAGATAATACACAGTTCTGGTTATCTCTGTAGTTGGGGGTTGCTGTGTGATGAGATAATACACAGTTCTGGTTATCTCTGTAGTTGGGGGTTGCTGTGTGATGGGATAATACACAGTTCTGGTTATCTCTATAGTTGGGGTTGCTGTGTGATGAGATAATACACAGTTCTGGTTATCTCTATAGTTGGGGTTGCTGTGATGGGATAATACACAGTTCTGGTTATCTCTGTAGTTGGGGGTTGCTGTGTGATGAGATAATACACAGTTCTGGTTATCTCTGTAGTTGGGGGTTGCTGTGTGATGGGATAATACACAGTTCTGGTTATCTCTATAGTTGGGGTTGCTGTGTGATGAGATAATACACAGTTCTGGTTATCTCTATAGTTGGGGTTGCTGTGATGGGATAATACACAGTTCTGGTTATCTCTGTAGTTGGGGGTTGCTGTGTGATGGGATAATACACAGTTCTGGTTATCTCTATAGTTGGGGTTGCTGTGATGGGATAATACACAGTTCTGGTTATCTCTATAGTTGGGGTTGCTGTGATGGGATAATACACAGTTCTGGTTATCTCTGTAGTTGGTGTTGCTGTGTGATGGGATAATACACAGTTCTGGTTATCTCTATAGTTGGGGTTGCTGTGATGGGATAATACACAGTTCTGGTTATCTCTATAGTTGGGGTTGCTGTGTGATGAGATAATACACAGTTCTGGTTATCTCTGTAGTTGGGGTTGCTGTGTGATGGGATAATACACAGTTCTGGTTATCTCTGTAGTTGGGGTTGCTGTGTGATGAGATAATACACAGTTCTGGTTATCTCTGTAGTTGGGGTTGCTGTGTGATGGGATAATACACAGTTCTGGTTATCTCTATAGTTGGGGTTGCTGTGTGATTGGTTAATACACAGTTCTGGTTATCTCTGTAGTTGGGGTTGCTGTGTGGTGGGATAATACACAGTTCTGGTTATCTCTGTAGTTGGGGGTTGCTGTGTGATGAGATAATAGACAGTTCTGGTTATCTCTGTAGTTGGGGTTGCTGTGTGAGGGGATAATACACAGTTCTGGTTATCTCTGTAGTTGGGGTTGCTGTGTGATGGGATAATACACAGTTCTGGTTATCTCTATAGTTGGGGTTGCTGTGTGATGGGATAATACACAGTTCTGGTTATCTCTATAGTAGGGGTTGCTGTGTGATGGGATAATACACAGTTCTGGTTATCTCTATAGTTGGGGTTGCTGTGTGATGTGATAATACACAGTTCTGGTTATCTCTATAGTTGGGGTTGCTGTGTGATGGGATAATACACAGTTCTGGTTATCTCTATAGTTGGGGTTGCTGTGTGATGGGATAATACACAGTTCTGGTTATCTCTATAGTTGGGGTTGCTGTGTGATGGGATAATACACAGTTCTGGTTATCTCTATAGTTGGGGTTGCTGTGTGATGGACTAACTTCCCATTCGTTCCTCGGTTGAGTTTTCATTTAAAATGCATACGTTCGTTTATCTCTATAGCTTAGGGGTTTTGCTGTGATGGGATAATACACAGTTCCTGGATTTATCTATAGTTGGGGTTGCTGTGTGATGTGATAGCTTACAGTTCTAGTTATCTCTATAGTTGGGGTTGCTGTGATGGGATAATACACAGTTCTGGTTATGTCTATAGTTGGGGTTGCTGTGTGATGGGATAATACACAGTTCTGGTTATCTCTATAGTTGGGGTTGCTGTGTGATGGGATAATACACAGTTCTGGTTATCTCTATAGTTGGGGTTGCTGTGTGATGGGATAATACACAGTTCTGGTTATCTCTATAGTTGGGGTTGCTGTGTGATGGGATAATACACAGTTCTGGTTATCTCTATAGTTGGGGTTGCTGTGTGATGGGATAATACACAGTTCTGGTTATCTCTATAGTTGGGGTTGCTGTGTGATGGGATAATACACAGTTCTGGTTATCTCTATAGTTGGGGTTGCTGTGTGATGGGATAATACACAGTTCTGGTTATCTCTATAGTTGGGGTTGCTGTGTGATGGGATAATACACAGTTCTGGTTATCTCTATAGTTGGGGTTGCTGTGTGATGGGATAATACACAGTTCTGGTTATCTCTATAGTTGGGGTTGCTGTGTGATGGGATAATACACAGTTCTGGTTATCTCTATAGTTGGGGTTGCTGTGTGATGGGATAATACACAGTTCTGGTTATCTCTATAGTTGGGGTTGCTGTGTGATGGGATAATACACAGTTCTGGTTATCTCTGTAGTTGGGGGTTGCTGTGTGATGAGATAATACACAGTTCTGGTTATGTCTGTAGTTGGGGTTGCTGTGTGATGGGATAATACACAGTTCTGGTTATCTCTGTAGTTGGGGTTGCTGTGTGATGGGATAATACACAGTTCTGGTTATCTCTGTAGTTGGGGTCGCTGTGTGATGGGATAATACACAGTTCTGGTTATCTCTATAGTTGGGGTCGCTGTGTGATGGGATAATACACAGTTCTGGTTATGTCTGTAGTTGGGGTCGCTGTGTGATGGGATAATACACAGTTCTGGTTATCTCTGTAGTTGGGGTCGCTGTGTGATGGGATAATACACAGTTCTGGTTATCTCTGTAGTTGGGGTCGCTGTGTGATGGGATAATACACAGTTCTGGTTATCTCTGTAGTTGGGGTCGCTGTGTGATGGGATAATACACAGTTCTGGTTATCTCTGTAGTTGGGGTCGCTATGTGATGGGATAATACACAGTTCTGGTTATCTCTGTAGTTGGGGTCGCTGTGTGATGGGATAATACACAGTTCTGGTTATCTCTGTAGTTGGGGTTGCTGTGTGATGGGATAATACACAGTTCTGGTTATCTCTATAGTTGGGGTTGCTGTGTGATGGGATAATACACAGTTCTGGTTATCTCTATAGTTGGGGTTGCTGTGTGATGGGATAATACACAGTTCTGGTTATCTCTATAGTAGGGGTTGCTGTGTGATGGGATAATACACAGTTCTGGTTATCTCTGTAGTTGGGGTGCTGTGTGATGGGATAATACACAGTTCTGGTTATCTCTATAGTTGGGGTCGCTGTGTGATGGGATAATACACAGTTCTGGTTATCTCTATAGTTGGGGTTGCTGTGTGATTGGTTAATACACAGTTCTGGTTATCTCTGTAGTTGGGGTTGCTGTGTGGTGGGATAATACACAGTTCTGGTTATCTCTATAGTTGGGGTTGCTGTGTGATGGGATAATACACAGTTCTGGTTATCTCTGTAGTTGGGGTTGCTGTGTGATGGGATAATACACAGTTCTGGTTATCTCTATAGTTGGGGTCGCTGTGTGATGGGATAATACACAGTTCTGGTTATCTCTATAGTTGGGGTCGCTGTGTGATGGGATAATACACAGTTGTGGTTATCTCTGTAGTTGGGGTTGCTGTGTGATGGGATAATACACAGTTGTGGTTATGTCTGTAGTTGGGGTTGTATTGAGCTGTAATGAATGAAGGCTAACAGCAGAATACACAGGACATGAAATAGGCGGTTCGCGTTCTGAGCAGATTGACTCTCCTCGGGCTCCGTACTCAGTGAAGTCATCTCATTGGTCGGATGGTTCTGCCGTGTGAGCGCCCTCTGCCGACGCTGGGGATTATGTCCGTGTTTACAGAGCTGTCAGCTGACAGAACTACAGACACATCTCGGGCCCCAGGGGCCACAGCACCCACCGGACAGCATGGCCGAGGCCGTGAGACCACGGAAAGTCCGGAGCAAGAGCAGGCAGGACAAGGTAACCGGGGACAGGGGCCGCTCTGTGACATCTACCGGGAGACCGGGCCCACACACCTCCCATCACAGCTCCCATCACTCTCAGTACAGCTCCCATCACCCTCAGTACAGCTCCCATCACCCTCAGCACAGCTCCCATCACCCCCCAGTACAGCTCCCATCACCCCCCAGTACAGCTCCCATCACCTCTCAGTACAGCTCCCATCACTCCCAGCAGCTCCCATCACCCCAGTACAGCTCCCATCACCTCTCAGTACAGCTCCTATCACCTCTCAGCACACAGCTCCCATCACCCCACACAGCTCCTATCACTTCTGTGTACAGTCTCTACTGCCTCCTCAGTACAGCCCTATCACCTTCAGCACAGCTCCCACACCTCTCAGCATAGCCTTCCCATCACTCCCCAGTACAGCTCCCATCACTCTCAGTACAGCTCCTATCACCTCTCAGCACAGCTCCTATCACCCCTGTGTACAGCCTCCCATCACCCCAGTACAGCTCCCATCACTCCCAGTACAGCTCCTATCACCTCAGTACAGCTCCCATCACTCCCCAGTACAGCTCCCATCACTCCCCAGTACAGCTCCCATCACCCCTCAGTACAGCTCCCATCACCTCAGTGCAGCCTCCCATCACCTCAGCACAGCTCCCATCACCTCTCAGCACAGCTCCCATCACCCCAGTACAGCTCCCATCACCCTCAGTACAGCTCCCATCACCCTCAGTACAGCTCCCATCACCCTCAGTACAGCTCCCATCACCCTCAGTACAGCTCCCATCACCTCTCAGTACAGCTCCCATCACCTCTCAGTACAGCTCCCATCACCCTCAGTATTACCTGAACTCAAGACAAACCCCCACCATGCCCAGTACTACCTGACCACACTACAACCCCCACCATCCCCAGTACTACCTGACCACACTACAACCCCCACCATCCCCAGTACTACCTGACCACACTACAACCACCACCATCCCCAGTACTACCTGACCACACTACAACCCCCACCATCCCCAGTACTACCTGACCACACTACAACCCCCACCATCCCCAGTACTACCTGACTCATACTACAACCCCCACCATCCTCAGTACTACCTGATCCATACTACAACCCCCACCATCCTCAGTACTACCTGATCCATACTACAACCCCCACCATCCTCAGTACTACCTGACCCATACTACAAACCCCCACCAACCTCTGTACTACCTGGCCTAATTACAACCCCCACTATCCTCAGTACTACCTGACCCCACTTCAAACCCCACCACCCTCATCACTACCTGACTTAACCACAACCCCCACCACTCTCCGTACTACCTTACCAAACTAAATACCCCACCACCTTCCGTCTTACCTGACCTCACCACAACCCCCACCACCCTCGGTTCTATTTGATCTCACTACTGCCCCCACCACCCTTGTTACTACTTGATCTCACTACTGCCCCACCACCTTCAGTTCTATCTGGCCTAACTATAAACCCCACTACTCGGCCACATACTGCTACTGCCCCCACCCTCGGTACCACCTGACCTCACTAGAACCCCCACTACCCTCAGTACTAACTAACCTCACTACAACCCCCACTACCCTCGATACTAACTGACATCACTACGACACCCACCATCCTCAGTACTACCTAACCTCACTACAACTCACACTATCCTCAGTACTAATTGACCTTACTACAAACCCACCACCCTTGGCACTAGCTGACCACACTGCAACCCCCACTACTCTCAATACTACCTGACCCTCCCTACATCCCACACAGTGCTACTTTATCTCACTCTGCCACTAACCTCGCACAGCCACAAACACTACCCTCAGTACTATCTGAACACACAACTCCCATTGCTCTCAGTACTACTTGGCCTCACACTGCTACTCCCACTATTTTGTCTGCTCTACCAGCCATCATACTAAAGCTCTCCCCACTGTCAATACCCTCCTGAGCGACATCTGCCTGTCAACTCGGTTACCACTCATACAAAAACTATTACCACCATTAATACTAATACATTAACCCACTTCAGTCATGACATCACACAGAAGTTTTCATAACCCTCATTACTGTCTCACACTGCAACTCCTCCTACCCCCAGTGTAGGCTGACATCTACCGGGAGACAGGGCCCACACACCTCTCATTACAACTCCCATCACCCTCCCGGCCTTTGTACTTAATTTGCACCTTTACTTATTCTTTATATCAATTGGTCATCCCTTCTATTGCAACTACCATCACCCTTCACACCTCAGTACCAACATTACGAAGTAGCTTCCACCAACTTCAGTGCCGTCTTAGGTCTGTCTGTCAGGTCTACCACCATCATACTGCATTTACTTCCACTTTCATTACTGAATAACAGCTGTCTGTCAAAACTCATACTGCATTGAAAACAACCTCAGCAACCAATTCCAACATGTACCTCATGGTTACCGACTTTGTATTTGGCTTTGTGCTGCAACTCCCATCACCCTCACTATGGATACCCGCTTTCCTTCTTGCTTATTCCCATCACCCTGGGCACATTTAGTGTGGACAGACTATATTTCTATAGCCACTCCACTATCCTCAATAGTGAATGGCACCTACCTGTTAGTCCCCATACAGCTACCCCCTCCCTCTTCAGTGTTTTACATACATCCACTAGTCAGCCCTTCATTTGGCCTTATACTGCAAACTTTAGCATACACAGTGAATGAATCACAGTATCACTCTATACATTCTGACCTAACACTGCAACTCCTATCATTCACATTATATGCATTTCATGCAATGACTTTAACTGTGTGAGCACATTTTGCAGAATGTTCTCTGGTGTTGTAAACAAAAAAGATATAAAAAAATTAAAATTGGGACCCCTCAGTCGGGACTGTCCTCCTGATTGAGACTGTTAATGGATCCATTAACTGCATTTGCAAACACGTGAGATATAATGTTGCAGTTTTTGTTTACTCTTTTGGGTGTTTGAGAACCTTTACTGATTTAGCAAATGTCTGCTATCAAATCATGGTCTTGATTTAATGTTTTTGGATAAGCATTTCAAATATCAAAAAATATATTGTATATAAATGAATGCATACAAAAAATATTAAAAAAATTTAAATTCAAAATTGATAAAAAAAAAGTTTATCTGACATGTTTAAATCATTTTATGATTTAATTTTATCTTTTTATTTTTTAATGCCATTAAATTGTAGCTTTATATTTTTCGCTGTCACTTTTATGTGTGCTGGCTTGAGTTTTTGTGAAGGTGTGATGTACAGGGAATTTTATTTACATTTTTATTTAAATTAAAGATGGGTCTCATGAAAGTCTAGTCATTATAGAAAAATGGATGTATGGATTGGACACTTTCAATGTTACCTTAACATTTGTTGATTTGCTGTTATGTGCTCTTTTAAAGAAGTTCTCTGTCTTAGAAATTTGTATAACTCTGATTGGTTTTGGTATCCTTATGACAGTCATGGCACTAACCATTTACTTTTTCAGTAAATCAATTTTTATTTTACAAAATTATGGCAGACAAGAGATACTAAGTAACAAAGATGGTAGTCCAAAAAAAAAATTATATGGTCATTTGCAAAGAAAAGTTGAAAGCCTGATATTTCATGGTGAGGCCCGCAGTTGTCATAAGAACACTATCTACATAAAAGCTGGAGGTAGATGTTGGAGGAGAAGAAATTGTAATGAGAAGCCTATGGAGAGAGGACAATTAATTATCTTCTGAGATTTAGATCCCATGATCCAAATGTATGCTTATGTGAGTGTGTTATGCAGAGAGTGTAATTACATTTATGCAAAATTTAGGAGAGTATTACTTTTTCAATATTTTCAAATTAATTTACACCATTAATGCTTTGTGTGAGTTTGAAGACCTCTTACAAGCATCACCGTTACATATGCACTTTGCGTAGGTAATGTACTCCAAGCTCCCAGTCCCTATCTCCCTAATCTTTCCATATAGCTGTGGTGATTTTGTAAAAATGTAGGTTTACATATTCCATAAGTACTATGGGATATGTACTGTATCTCTCACATTAAGATGCCAGAATTGGAATAGAAATATCTGCCACTTCTGGCTTCATGCTGAAACATAGAAACATAGAAGCCGCAGATTTGCAACAAAGAAATAATATTCAGAGGCATATGCCTTTGTAAGTTATGATCTTTACATTTTTTGCATAGCTAGCTGAATTATTGTGGTGACCTCATGTTATTTACTCACATGGAATAACAATTTGAAAATAATTGATGCTTCATGTAGCTATGACAACAGGACAAGATATTCAAGTAGTGCTGCTGACCTCAGTGCTGAATTGCGTTCCACCCTCTGATGTAATGCTGCAGCACATGAACAGGTGGACTGTTATAGAAAATATATTTGACCTCTTATGATGAGTGCTGTTGCTGGGATAGTCTCATAAAATGTATCCTACAATATGAGTGAGGGATTCGTTATGGAACTTGTTTAAAAATGTGGCATTTAACTGCAAGTAGTGTGATTGCTAAGTAAATGTCAATAAGCTCTGTTCTGGACATGGATGAGTTGGTATCAGCTCGTTACTCTGCATTGCTAATCTTGTAGTCACTCTCAGAGTGACTCCCATACCAAGAAATGTTGAGCAGAGTGAGCATAATGTTTTTATAACAAAAAAATATTAAGATCCAGATACAGTGATAACAGGTGTCCCAACAATATCAATCACTTCCACTGATCATCAGTGACACAGTGGACTCCATTTTTCCTCTTCACTGTGGTTGGGCAACTAACCACGAGGTGAGCTTCAGTACTTTGGCGTGTGAGGGGAGTAGCCAAGCTAAAATTTGGGGATATAAAAATAGTGGAATAAGGCGGGTTTGATAAGCAGAATGTACTCTTTTTGGTAATATGTGCTAGCATAGCAAGACTGGTTACTTAAAGGGACACTATAGTCACCAGAACAACTGCAGCTTAATGTAGTTATGGTATCTTTAGCCTGTCACTGCAGGCTTTTTTTAATGTAAAGACTGCTTTTTCAGGCATTAGCCTCCCAATGCTTGCCTATGGGAAAGCAGTGGAGTGGCTAAGAATATCAAGTTTGATGATTTCGGCCACAAAGGCGCGGCATTGGCTGCGGCATAACCGGCATGGCTTGGGAGAAAAGGGGAGTAAAAGCAACTTTAAAAAGGAATGCTGGGGTGTGGGAACTAAACAGTGATTTTACCACTATAATGTCAGGAATACATGTTTGTATAACCAAGGCTTAAAATTTAATATAATGTGTAAAGCAGATGATAATGTCTGTATAATTAATTATGAATTTAAATCACTAAAAAGCTTACTGCAATGTTTTAATATTTGTGAAAATGTCTATTATACGCAGTCACATGATGAGTAAATGTATCTCCAACAATCACCTTGTACACGGCTTGCAATATAAAAGAATAATTCTAGGTTGCATGGCCCAACTATGAAGATTACCGGTAATCACTCTTCAGTGCTATATTTAGCATCATGTGTAGTTATTTGTGATTGTTAAATGATAGGCACAGAGAAATGTGTGCCATATCAGTCCCTGAACATTTGGTAGATTGAATAGAACTGTAATTAACATTACCCAGTAGTTATACATGGATATGAAATCATCTTTATAGATCGTCTAAGTACCAAAATCATAAGTTTCAATGCACATTGTAGTGTTGTTGGTGCTTGGAGTATTCCGTTAACACAGGGCTTGACAAATTTTCTTTGAATCTAGGAGCCAGCTAAAAACTTTTAAAAATTTATACTAACAAAACTTTATTTTCATAAACAAAAAAATAATTCTTAAAGTGCCACTATAGTCACCAGAGCCATTACAGCTTAATGTAATGGTTCTGGTGTCTATAGCCTGTCCCTGCATGCTTTTCAATGTAAACACTGCCTTTTCAGAGTGGAGCTAGTACTGGCGCCTGGTGGGACTAAGGTAAGTTGTCAAACTATGATAAGAATGTTTGGTTTTCTTACAGTGTGGTATTATGCCAGGGCACTTCTGGAGCCTAGACCACTACTCCTGGGCTGTAGTGGTTATGGTACATTAAGTGTTACGTTAACCCCTTAAAGGACCAGTATAGGCACCCAGACCACTTCAGCTCAATGAAGTGGTCTGGGTGCCATGTCCCTCCTAGTTTTAACCCTTCAGCTGTAAACATAGCAGTTTCAGAGAAAACATGGTATAAAAAATTGTGTGTGTGTGTGTATATATGTGTGTGTGTGTGTGTGTGTGTGTATATATGTGTGTGTGTGTGTGTGTAATGCAGACGGCAATCCACAATGCCTTTGTAATTTTTAGAAAGGCAAATGCGAGCTGAAATGCACATTTCTATCATTTCAGTTTCAGCTAATTTCTGGGTTGCTTGAGTGCCACAGAGGGGGGCCATCAGTGGAGCCTAAAAGAAGAATGAAGGCAGGTCTCTTCTGCTACAGGATTCCATCAACCGCCAAAAAGAAAAACCCCCAGAAAAGGTGCAGGGTGTGTTACAAGAGGGGCGTAAGAGCTGAGACCAGTTATTTCTGCTCTGATTTCCCCTGTCAGCCCGGCCTATGTATTGGCCACTGTTTTAAAATTTTCCACACCCAGGCCGAATAAGTTTGAGGGTGTGATTTTAGTCATCTGTTTGGTTACCGAATTTTGGCTTTGTCTCCCGTTTATCCTGTCTTCTCTGATCCTTGAACTCGGCTTGTCCTATCGTTGTTCCATTTCTCTTTACTCCTTTGACCTCGGCTTGTAACTTGGCTATTCTCTGCTTGTATAGCCCAGCCATTATAAGGACTGATATTACAAGTTTCTCTCTTTTGTGGTCTGTGTGTTTTTGTTCTGGAATCTGTGACCGCGTTGCCCGAGATGCAGATAACTGGGTACTACCCCGTGATAAGTTGACGCCAAATATTCCCCCTTTCACAGCAAATAGTATGCACTTGTTCATAAATTTAATTCATGAGCTGCTTATGTTTAAAAATAGATGTGGCCTTTGAGAGGTAATTTTACTCCAATATTTAGCAGAGATTGGCGGTGAGATGGCTACGTAAAAAGTGTCAAAATAACTTTAGGTAAATAGATGTCTACTTTATATAAATATATACTTTTTTTGTGGCAATTTTGTTTTCTTTTATAGCTAAAATCGCTCCACATTAAAAGTTTATTTTACTCCTTATGTTTTGTGATCTGTACCTACCAAAAAAAAACCTTAAAATCCTAGACACATTATATATTCTGTAATTTAAATTTATTTTTAATTACTTTCCTTAACCTGCACTAATTATGCAAGCATTAATTTTGCAAAAACTGTAAAAAAAAAAAAAATTTAATTTTTCCTTTTTTTTACAATAAGTATTTATATATGTATATGTTACATCAAATTAAATCCCTTTCTGTCCTTTAAAAAACAAAATATAATGTGTTGGTGCAATAAATTTGTATAATGCAAATTGCAATTGAACGCAAACAACAAAATACAAAAATTGCTTGTCATTAAGTGCAAGACAAGCTTTTGAAGCTGTGTCCTTAAGAGGTTAAGGGCAGAGGGTGATTAAAACCAGCCCTAGAATTTGACTATATGTCTGTTCAACCATAATTCACCTCTTTCATATTAAGTGCACCCATGCTTATTATACATCAGTTTGTTCAGTAGAAACAGGGATTTTATTTCACATCAAATATTTATATATGAATTAATTTTCCTAACATATGGTGGCAGTACGATAGGCATGTGCTCTTCCCTTGGACAAGCATCTCACCTGAAAGACATTATGTTAAAAAGATCCTCCCCCATTGGGTATAAAGCACTAACCTTCCAAGATCCCACAGTTCTTTTTCTTGTTCCAATAGGAATGGACGAGCATCTGAAGACTAGAAGGCACACAGGTTGATGCCTGGGGGAACTGACCTGATACCCTCCCGGGTGGAGAGCTGCATGGTCCTGCTCCAACCTGTATGATTACAGATCAAGTCGGAGCGGCTTGTTTTTTTTTTATGCACAATGCAGCTACCGTCGGAACAAGTGGACAGTCCCTAGAGGCAGCCAATCACTGCTCGAATGGGACGCGTGTGCACAGCGATGGAACGCACGCCCGGGAGGTTGTGCGTTCCACCGAAGTTCAAATTCAGTACTTCCAGTTTTTGGCGCCAAATAAAAAAAATAAAAAAAATGTTCTTTAAAAAGCTGTGCAGGTCCTACTGAGAGCATGGAGGCTACTCCTGTGTCACCAGCCCCCCCCCCACACGGGTCAGAGGTTTTGTAGGTGAGATTTACTGGTCTTCATCTTTAAAACCTCTGCTAAAGTTTTTTTTATTTAAAAATTTAAGTGTGTGTGTGTGTGTTTTTGAAGTCCCAAATGATCGATAGACCATTGAGGACCATAGGAGAGTCTGCCTTGAAAATAGCTTTGAGGTCTTAGGAACTTCCACTATCAACAAATCTCTTGGAGGATGCAGGGATTCCCCTAGAAATCTTGACGATGTTCAGATTGACAGTATGGCTGCTGCAAGCCTGATTTTACATCACAAAGGTGTTAAGGATGAAAGGATTTTACTTAATTCCACCAGAAAATCTACCTCGGTCATTTATTTAAGAATCTGGACAAAATTTCTTCACTGGTGAAAGTATCATCATTGCCTAAGTAGTTCTCTTTCTACAGATACGATTTTGAATTTTCTACAGGATGGTCTTAATGCGGGATTAGGGTTATCTACACTCAAAGTTCACCTTTCCGCTCTTAGACACTTCCTGGTCAAGAATTTGGCTTCAGACATTTTGATTCAGAGATTCTTCAAAGCCGTAAAGCTCATCCGACCTGCTAAGAGAAATTTCTTTCCTTCATGGGATTTGTCAGTTGTTCTTAAAGGGAAACTCCAGTGCCAGGAAAACAATACGTTTTCCTGGCACTGCAGGTCCCCTCTCCCACCCACCCCCCAATTCCCGGTCGCTGCTCTTCCTCTGTATTATGTCGGTCGGTGGGTGAGACTGATCCCGCCCACCGGCTGGGGAGACCTACTGTGCATGCGCAGCAATGCCTCACATGCGCATCCCCATAGGAAAGCATTGGAAATGCTTTTCAATGCTTTCCTATGGGGAATTGAGCGACGCTGGAGGTCCTCACACAGTGAAGCTCTAGCATGCTTCTGTGCTATAATTCAGGAAGTGCCCTCTAGTGGCTAGTAGACAGCCACTAGAGGTGGAGTTAACCCTGCAAGGTAATTATTACAGTTTATGAAAAAATTGCAATAATTACATTTGCAGGGTTAAGAGTAGTGGGAGTTGGCACCCAGACCACTCCAATGGGCAGAAGTGGTCTGGGTGCCTGGAGTGTCCCTTTAAGGCCCTTTGTAAAGAACCATTCGAACCTTTGGATGAAATTTCCCTGAAGCTTTTTGCAGCAATAACATCTGCTAAAAGTATCAGTGAAATTCAGGCTCTTTCATCTTCTCCAGAATTCACTTTTCTTTCCAGACAAAGTTGTCCTACATCCAAAACCATCTGTCATGCTCCTGAGCAGGTCAGAGAGGAGACGATTGCAAGGGTTATTGGTTAAAACTTTATTTGTCATATTAGGCATAACAAATTTACTGAAGAAGAATAAAGGGCAGTCTGCCACAAACAGGATACTTTGTGAGAAAAAACAGGGTTTAGGTGATATGCCACAAACAAGATCTTTAGAAAATAAATGAATAAAGTCTTTTGTATACAAGCAGGCTTGAAGTTATACCTAGTAGTTAAGGATTTCCAGGATACTTTGCAATGGTAAATACCTCTTATGATTAAGCAATACAGGATCATGCAGAGGTTAAAACAGGTAGGTATATTCCAAAATAATATCATGCAGGTTGCTTACGAGATCATGCAGTGATGTAGCAATTGAAGCTGTTAAGATTCTTCAATGAAGGTAATACGCCACAAATCAGGATTCTTGGAAGCTAATAAGGAAAGTCTTTCGGTAAGATGTAATTCAGGCAAGTTCAGGATGAAGTAATGCAGGTTAGTGCCTTTCAGTATGAGGAAATGCAGATGAGTACAGGAAGAGGCACTGCAGATAAGTTCTCTACCGAATGAAATAATGTAGATAAAATACCAGGATATTACCAGGAAACAGAGATTCTTTATCAGAGTATAGACTTCAATATCAAGGTACTGTTGTGTGCCAGGATTAGACTTATCAAGCCTCCTAATTAGTTAATCCAGGTGAGGTTATTAAGGTGAGTGAATAGATTAGTGGCTAGGGAGGCCACTAGAGGAGAAAATCCTGACGTTCACTAAAGGGCCAGTAATAAACGAAAAAGTCTTGCATGTCAGTTTTGAAACCTGACACCATCCTTTCTTCCGAAAGTCATCACATCTAGGGCTATCAATCTAATTGTAGTGCCTTCCTTTGGTAATCCGTCAGCCGGGAGAAGACTGGGCATATGCTAGATGTTAGAAGAGCCCTTAGAATTTATATTGATCATTCATCTGGCTTCAGAAGATCAGACCATCTTTTTGTCAATTTTTTTTGGACAATTCAAAGGTCTCACAGCTTCCAAGGCTAGTCTGGCTAGCTAGTAGATACCATGTCCTACACTTCCTCAAAATTGCCTTTACCTTCACCATTAAAAGCGCACTCAGCTAAAGCTATGGCTACCTCATGGGTGGAAAAGGCTCAAGCATCTACAAAGGATATATACAGAGCTGCTTCGTGGTCTTCCTTCAACACCTTTGTGAAGCATTATAGGCTAGACATATTCTCTGCCTCTGAAGCAGCTTTCGGGCATAAGATGCTTTCAGCAGTGGTTACCTAATTAATGCACAGATTTTTTTTGGGGGGGGGGGATCTCGATATATTCCTATTGTACTGGCACCATATGTTAGGAAAAACTTTAGTTTACTTACTGTAAATTCCTTTTTCCCTAATATGGTGGCAGTACAAGCACGTTCCCTTTTCCAGTTTTCATACAATGAATTTTGCCAGATTGTTTATGTTGCCTTTGAAACCGTATCGCAGCCGCGGAATGAAAATTACCTCCATCATGGCATACTATTTGGAAAAGTAGACAACCCAAGGTATTCAAAATAGGTTTTGTTAATTCTAACACTTAGTCACAAACACTGGCCAAAGTTGGCATTCATATTTATTTATTTTTTGCATTGAAACCCCCCCCCCCCAAAAAAAAACCCCAGTTGAATTACCAATTTATATCATCAGCATTATATGTTTTAGTGCTCTAACACTCTCTCAGAATTGTGTTCTGTAATATCTCACGAGTACAACAGTGCCCCACATGTCCAGGTTTTATTGTGTTTTGTTACAGGGTCAAATATAACACTAGCCCATTTCCGTTTGTGCACATTTAAATTTGCCAGATTAGATATGTTGCCTTTGAGACAGTATGGCATCTTACAATTGAGAATTACCATCATCATGGCATACCATTTGAAAACATGGACAACCCAGGGTATTCAAAATGGAGTATGTCCAGTCTTTTTTAGTAGCCACTCAGTCACAAACCTTGGCCAAAGTTAGCGTGGTTTTTTTTTTTTGCATTATTTTACACAAAACTTAATTTTCACTTATGATATTGTCTTGAAATACGGTTTTAAAACACTCATATTTATGTTCAGCGAAGTGTGATGAGTTAAACGGTACCCCCATATACAAGTTTTGTGGTGTTTTTGGAACGTTACAGGGTCAAATATAGAGCTTGCTAATTAAATTCTTAGTTTTTTACCTCTCTCCTTTTTTCCACTCTATTGATCTGTGAGTAAAATCAACATTTACTAACTGTCCCCTAACCATAAATCAATTTTTATTTGGGGGGGGGAGGTTTACCCACGGTTTACCCACTCATTTGTTCAAACATCATATGAATTGCAATTTATTTGTGTATAGTTTTTTTCATGTTTAATTTGTTCTATTTATTTTTTGTACAGTTAGGGTGTCAGATGTTCAGTTCTCTTTGACATCTGCTGTCTGCATTGGAGCAGATGAATATTGTCAATGTAATACTTGCATAACTTGCAATCTTACGTTTGTCAGCAGTTGTTGGAATTTGATCAGCTGGCTGTTTGCTGGTCATATGCTATAAGCACACATTTACGCATATGTAGATATAGCAGAAATGAAACCTATAATTTTTCTTTACAAATTCCCTCAGGTACTTACAAATCACTTAATTCCCCTTGTTGATTTCTCCCTCATCCTTTTACATTGTAATTGTGTTTTGGTAAGGCCCTCTTCATATACTATTCTAGCATGTCATTCATATTTTGTTAGAATGGTTTGTTTTGTTTACCTATTGTACAGCAATGCGAAATATGTTGGTGCTATATAAATAATATATAAGTAATTGTAAGTAATGCTTAAACTCACTCACTTGCTATTTGCCTTCATTTATATTTATCATTTATTACTGTGCTAGATCTCAATACCTGGGCACCTCCATATTGTTCTCATTGATCCATGGTATCTACATTTTGCCCTTCTGTATTATTCTTCTGTCTGATATAATGCAGGTAACTTAGCAACTGAAATGGAACGTGGCTTAAAGGAACATTTTAGGGTCAGGAACACAAACATGTATACCTGATCCTATAGTGTTAAAAGCCCCTTGCCTCCTAAATACAGACAAATCGAACCCCTGACCTTCCTCCTTGGCTGACATAATCAAAAGTGGTGATCTCAACCAATCACAATGCTTTGGGAAATGGGAAAGCATTGGATTGGCTGAGCTTGTCAAGGAGGCAGATTAAACACAGCCCTGGCCAATCAGCTTCTCCTCATAGAAATGCATTGAATCAATGCATCTCTATGAGGAAAGTTCAGTGTCTCCATGCAGAGGGTGGAGGCATCTCTAGTAGCCACCTGTTGAGGTATCCCTATTGTAAACACCGCATTTTCTCTGAAAAGACAGTGTTTATTGCAAAACGCCTGAAGGAAATTATTACATTTAAGAAAACAAATATAATAAGCTGTAGTTGTTCTGGTGACTATTGTGACCCTTTGCCTATTGACAGAAAATTGCCAAAGATCACATTCCCCTGCTTTTTAAGTTTCACTTAAAAAAGGTGGAGAAATAAAAAAAAACAAGAAGAAATAATGGAATAAAAAAATTAGGTTTAAAATCAAAACCTGGATAGTGTCCGAGCCGTTGTAAAGGAACACTATAGCCACCCAGACAACTTTATCCCAATGAAGTGGTTTGGGTGCCATGCCCGTTCGTTTAACCCTGCAGCTGCAAACATTGGATGGTTAACCTGCAACTCACAGCCAGTAGAGGTGCTTCTGCAAAACCTCAACTATTTCTAAAAGAGACCATCTGATTGGCATAGCATGGCACTTTGCTGCACACTAAACTAACAATGCTTTCCTATGGAAAAGTACTGGACTGGCTGAGATTATTGATCCCAATGATGTAGAGCTTCCCTCTGAATACCGCTGCATCTTTTAAACTTTGGCAGTGTGGATCCTTGTTACCTAAACAGTGAATAGGATACTATATTGTAGGGAATACATATCTGTATTCCTAACTCTATATTGTGTGTTTTTTTGTTTTTTTTACAGATCGAGGCAATTGTCAGATCTCTGAATCAAACCAAAATCTAGAATGTGTGCTGTGTGTTTGTTCCAGAGTAATTGAAGTGTTTCTCTTTAAGTGCACCCATCAATATTAAATATCAGGGCTCAACAAATCCCAGGCCAGGTCGCCATGGCGACTAGAAATTTTGCCCTGGCGCCTGGGATTTGAAGCCTTTTAGCTAAAGCGGCAGGATGGGGGAACAATGCCGGCCGCCTTGGGTATCATGCAGGTGACTGCCCTTGGCTGCATGGGGCAACTTGCGATGGAACAGTAATCTTCCTGCAGCTCCTCTCTGCTCCCTCGCGCAGTATAGTGATGCCGGTAGCCGGAATATGATGTCATTCCAGCACCGGCTACACTACAGGGAGCAGAAAGGAGCTGCAGGTAGATTACTGCTCCCTCGCACGCAGGATGAGTGAGCAGCCCCACTGGACCCCAGGAAAGATCCACTCAGCTCTCCCAAAGGTAGGGGGCTGGGTGGATTAAAATTAAAATGGAAAATGTCAATTTGTGTGTGTGTGTCTGTGTCTGCTTAGGTACCTGCACCCTTCCGATCATGAGAGAGGTGTTTTTACTCACTTTCTTTCCGTGCCAGTTTCGTCGTGGCTTGTCCTGCCTTTATTGCTGAGATAATCGATCTTTAAAATCTGAGCTAAACCAATGCTTTCCTATAGGAAAGCATTGGGAGGATATTGCGCATGTTTTCTATATGTAACATTCAGCACCTCCATGGAAAGCGTGGAGACGCTGAACAAAGGTCCTGCACACTGTGCAGTACTTACACAGGACTCTCTAGTGGCGTCTGAGTGACTGTCACTAGAGGTGTTACTAGGCAGCAATGTAAACACTGCCCTTTCTCTGAAATTGAAAAAGCTACAGGGACAGGCTATAGGCACCAGAGCAACTACATTAAGCTGCAGTGGTTCTGGTGACTATAGTGTCCTTTAATGGGACACTATAGTCACGAGAACACTTCAGCTCAATGAAGTGGTCTGGATGCCAGGTCCCACAGGTTTCAACCCTTCAGAGAAACTGCTATGTTTACATAGCAGGGTTAATCCAACCTCTAGTGGCTGTCTTCTTGACAGCCGCTAGAGGCGCATCCAACATGCAGAACATCCATAGGAAAGCATTGAGAAATGCTTTCCTATAGACAGTTTGAATGCGTGTGCGGCACTTGCCACGCATGTGCATTCCGCTCCACTCGGGAGCTGACGTCGTCAGGGCTGGAGAGGTCACCAGCAGTTTTAACCCCTTCAGCCCAGCGGGAGGGGGACCCTGAGGGTGGGGGCACCCTTAGGGCACTATAATGTCAGGAAAACCGCTTTGTTTTCCTGACACTATAGTGATCCTTTAAGAATTGTATATTTCTCGTAAATTCAACTTTGCTAGTTTTTAATACAAATTATTAAAGGACAGATAGAACTTTATTTTATTATCCTCCATGTGTATCTTACACTACATTTAGTGTTAAAAATAGGGTCTCGGCTCACAGAGGAAGCCCCAGGTATTGATATTGATACCTGCCTCTCCCACGCGGCTCGTAACCGAGATACCGGACATTCCATGCCATGCTAATGGTGTTAGAGCCCAATATTTTTTGTATGGAATGGAATGTCCTGATGTCTTTTAAGGTAGTAAACCTTAAATGGATATTGTTTTTTTTTTTTATTTTTTTTTTTTATGTCATGCGTCTTGACTGTTTGAATTTGTTTTCTATGGTGGCCATGTGAGAAACATAGAATGTGACGGCAGATAAGAACCATTCGGCCCATCTAGTCTGCCCAATGAGCAAGTACTTGCAGAAACTCGTTGCCAATACATGCGCATATTCATTGGCTCAGTGAGGTATAGCACATACATGCTACATGTCCATCATTTTGTATGGGTAGCTGGATGTAGGTTTTAACACCATTCTACAAGCTAATGTACAGGTCTATCTACTCTTGGGCATACACAGATTGGCTCTTGTTTTATTGTACTGTATAATAATCTATGTAGACTAGCTGTGCAGCAGAAAATGTGTGTGAATGCAATGCAGGCGACCTATCTAGCACAGGCGAGCAGTGGCCTTCTTGCTGGTTATTGTGTTTTTTGTGGGATGTATGCCAAAGAAAATGAAAGTGAGGTGGAGGTCTGGGGGGTAGGTTGAAAGGCAATTGATTGGGGTTATGAAGTGGGTGGGGCTATTGTGAAAAATTCATTTCCTGTTGTTTGGACTGAGAGAATAGGAAAAGCCTTATTATTAATTTTTTTTAACTGCTCTTCTCTTTTTTTTTGCTGCTGATTTACCTCCGCATACGAACTGTGTTTTTTGTGTGTGTTTATTTTCTTTAAATAAATGAAATGACGTTCCTGGGAGAAATGTACAATCTACTTGAGAGGGAGATGCCGACAAATAATTGTGATACTTACATTGTTACCATAGGAACTGTTTATAGAAAAGAATGATGGAGAGCTTCCCATTGTACTTCACTTTCTGATTCACTCACAAGGTATGCATAAGTTACGTTATGCATTCAGAATTTAACTTCAACTGCTGTCTCTCTTCTGATGTTGTCCCTGCTGATCTTAAACTTGCCACTGTAGTACCTATACTAAAAAAAAAAACCATCTCTTGACCCGTCCTCCCCCTCTATCGTCCCATATCCCTGCTCCCTTTCCCCTCAAAGCTTCTGGAAAGACTTGTCTTTACTCGTATGTCTCACTTGCTCAATTCCAACTCTCTCCTTTACACTCTTCAATCTGGCTTCCGCACTCTCCACTCTACTGAGACTGCTCTTATCAAAGTTACTAACGACCTAATCGCAGTTAAACCCAAGGGCCACTACTCCATACTAATTCTTCTTGACTTCTCTGCTGCTTTTGACAATTGATCATGTTCTCCTTCTTCAAACTCTTCAATCACTCGGTCTCTGTGACTCTTGTGGTTTTCCTGTTATCCCTCCCAACGCTCATTCAGCGTCTACTTTTCTAATGATACCTCCTCCCTCGTCCTGTCTCTGTTGGAGTCCCCCAAGGCTCTGTCCTCTGTTCTATTTTCTCTTTATCCTGCCTCTCTTGGGAAACGTATTACCTCTTTTGGATTCCACTACCACCTGTACGCTGATGACACCCAGATATATCTCTCCTCCCCGGACCTCTCCCCTGCCGTCCTGCAACGTGTCACTGCTTGTCTTTCTTCCATCTCTGACTGGATGTCCTCCCGCTTTCTGAAACTCAATCTCTAAAACTGAGCTCCTTGTCTTTCCTCCTCCTAATACTGATCCTCCTTTTTTGCTCTCCCTTCAAATTAGTGGTATCCACATAAGTCTATCCTTGCAAGCGCGCTGTCTTGGCGTCATTTGATTCTGGCCTCACCTTTGAGCCTCACATCCAGTATGTTGCCAAATCATGTAGATCCCATCTTAAAAACATAGCCCGCATCCGCCCCTTTCTTACGCAAGATGCTACCAAGGAGCTTGACCATGCTCTAGTAATTTCCTGCATGGATTATTGTAACCCTCTCCTAATTGGTCTTCCCAAAAGCCGTATTGCCCCGCTGCAGTCTGTAATGAATGCTGCCGCAAGACTGATTTTCCTCTCTGGTTAGTCCTCTCACACCTCTGTCCTTACATTGGCTTCCTTACATAGGAGTCAATTCAAAGTGCTAACCCATACCTATAAATCACTGAACAATCTATCTCTTTACAGATCCATAGATATGCCCCTTCTCGGTCTCTCTGCTCTGCCCATGACCTTCTCCTGTCCGCTGCTCGCACGCGTACAATCAACTCATGTTTACAGGACTTCTCGCGAGCGGTCCCTTCCTTTGGAATCGCCTGCCTACCGATATCAGACTCTCCCCTAGTCTTCAATCGTTTAAAAAGTGCCTTAAAACCCATCTATTTAGGAAAGCTTATAGCCTCCCACAGTAACCTCTACCTCACTTACCTGTCTCTTGAGCTCTCCTAAAGGGCAGCACTTTACTCTCTCCTCCAGCTCTGCTTCACTCCCTATTTGATTGCTATTTCCTGTCCTACTGTGTTTTATACCCCACTTCCTATAGACTGTAAGCTCGTTAATGTACCTATCGTTCCTGTAAGTTTTCTTGTAATTGTCCTATTTATAGTTAAATCCTCCCTCTCATAATATTGTAAAGCGCTACGGAATCTGTCGGCGCAACAATGATAATAATAACATTACTACCTCGAATAATTTTTAACCCATTCAGGGCCAATGAACTATTGGAGTTTAATATTTCAATAATTTAAGTGATATTTTTTCTCTATGCAAAATTAAAGTGCAACTTTTTTATTTTTATTTGAATGAGTAGCTAAAACAACATAAATTAGGGCATAATAGCAATTTATTGACCTAAGGAGCACGTGGAAAAGACCTCCTTTTCAGGTCTTGCTTATTGTAGGAGGAACGGGGGGCACTAAATATTTGTAGGCACATGTTAAATTGCTGCGGCTGAGTACGATCGCGTTAACTGAGTGCTGCACATTGCTCTTCTACTAGTATGGGACCACTAATTGTGGGTTCTTGGGGGGGTTCCTGCCTTCTTAAGGCAGCAGGCTGCGTACACCGTTTAGAAATACCACAGCTGAGCGAGATTGCTCAGCGGCGGAATTAAAAGGGCAAAGTGCAGTTCTCACTTTCATCACTGCACATAGCTTATCTGTCAGTCTGAGGTCACTACCTGTGGCTCCAGTTTATAGAGAGGACCCTCCGGTATCAAAAGATACCTGGAGTTCCTTGGTACAGCAGGGATTTTACCCATGCTGGTACTTTTTAAAGCATGACAGCCCATGTCTTCACTGAGAGTTAAAGGAACACTATAGTCACCTAAATTACTTTAGCTAAATAAAGCAGTTTTAGTGTATAGATCATTCCCCTGCAATTTCACTTCTCAATTCACTGTCATTTAGGAGTTAAATCACTTTGTTTCTGTTTATGCAGCCCTAGCCACACCTCCCCTGGCTATGATTGACAGAGCCTGCATGAAAAAACAAACTGGTTTCACTTTCAAACAGATGTAATTTACCTTAAATAATTGTATCTCAATCTCTAAATTGAACTTTAATCACATACAGGAGGCTCTTGCAGGGTCTAGCAAGCTATTAACATAGCAGGGGATAAGAAAATCTTAATTAAACAGAACTTGCAATAAAGAAAGCCTAAATAGGGCTCTCTTTACAGGAAGTGTTTATGGAAGGCTGTGCAAGTCACATGCAGGGAGGTGTGACTAGGGTTCATAAACAAAGGTATTTAACTCCTAAATGGCAGAGGATTGAGCAGTGAGGCTGCAGGGGCATGTTCTATACACCAAAACTGCTTGATTAAGCTAAAGTTGTTCAGGTGACTATAGTGTTCCTTTAAAGGGCATGACAGCATAGACCTCTATGTGGTACTTCAGTGTTTTATTAATATACTTCCTCCATGCCACTTGCTTTTATTTGTATTTATAAACTTTTCTACCTTGTGCTTGATCACAGTACCTTAGTGCAGCCATTTTGTTCTCCTCTGCCCATGGTGTTTTTTTGTTTGTCCTTCTTCTGTCGGATTGATTTCACTGATTGTGGGTAAATCTGATTGGTAACTGAAATGGAAACCTTGTTGCAATTATTCTCAAGGTTTGTCAACGTGACTTCTATACATAAGGAAAACTAGTCCCTGCTTTTCTTTATTCTATGAAAATATGAGCATTTTCGATGAAAGATACCCTTTACATTACGATGGAACAAACTAGATTTTGCCCTGGTTCAGAGGTTGTACAGTTGTCTACATCCTTAACACTCCAAACACCATAGCAGGGACATCAGAATGTAGTTTAACTAAAAGTCTTGAACCAGCACTGTTTAGCTCTACCCCTGCCCCTTTACTGCTCTCAGATTATTTTAATAGGAAATCTAGGGCTACCCTAGATAGGAGTGCTGATATCTGGCTAAGAGGGTCAACTGACACTCTAAGCCAATCAGTAGCTTCCAATATCTAAAAATGGCTTAAGAAAAATGTACATTTTAACCCCTAGATGTTGGTTGGCACCCGGGACCTCCTGGAACCATAACAACTTGTTCACAATGAATTTGTTATGGTGCCTGCAGGCTCCCTTTAATGGAGTAAAGTGCAATTAAGAGAGCAGGAGATAAAAATTAAGTAATTAGAAATAGGTAAACTCACTGTTATGTTATATCTGATTTGTAAATGAAACCATTTTCTGTTTTCAAGCTGACTGAGTCACAGTCAGGAGTGGTGTAGCTTGGACTGCATAAACAAACATAAGTTAGAACTGCAGCATATATGCGTGTTCATACTGCCTCCCTTCTGAGTTTTTGAAAAAAAAAAAAAATATATATATATATATATATATATATATATATATATAATCATTTTTTTTTAATTTTAAAATTTTTTTTTAAAGAAATCATTGCTGTGCCTAAACAATAATTTAGTTTTTGTTTCAAGATTTCCAAAATGCACTGCTATGGTTACTATCTATTCTTAACATATGCTCGCTGCAGAACTCTGTGCAAGGGCAATATTCATCTATTAACTGTTGCTCATATCCGATTCTATTCTTTTGTTCTCTGACAGACATGTGGCTTCCCACGTATACATAGATTGCAAAACTGTATATATCTTAAAAGGGACACTGTGTGCACTTTACCATTTCATCTCATTGACTTAGTTAAAATGCCTGGAATTTCCTGGTGCAGTCCGTCTGCTCAGTGTAAAACCTGAATGAGGGTCCCTGGCCCCCACAGATACTTTGGCTAAGGCAGAGATTACACTCTTCCTAGTCCATACCAATTCTTCAGATCAAGGGGCAGCTGTGATAGGCTGGAAGATATTAGCTCACACTCTCAACCAATCACTGCCTCCTATTGTTACTCTGGCTATTGCTTCGTCATTAGCCTAAGCAGTACAGATGGGAAAGGGAGAGACCTAAAACATGTTTAAATATTTGAACGGCTGAACAGTATTTGGCGCACCCATTTGGCAAAGCTGAACTGGCACATGGAATCCTCTGTAAATGTTACAGAATTGAAAGGGTTTACACTGATTCTATAAATCTAGAATTAACCCATACAATTATTATTATTTTTCTTTTCTTAAATTACTTAAGAACCTTAAGAACCACATATAAAAAAGCTTAAATGGGTTGCTAGGAGTGCCCTTTTAATGCAAGTCAAATTGCAGCATCCTTTCCCGCTGCAGTTGTTGTTATTGTTGTTATTAGTATTATTATTATTATTATTATTACAATCAACTCATGCTGACTTCGGTTGACATCAATAAGAACAGTGTTAAATGGTTTGAGGGACGTAAAGCCTATGCTCAAAATAAGACTGCTATAGGGGTTCTGGGAACAAGGAATTTATGTGAGCTAAAAAAAATTTAAGTTAATTTGAGAATACAAGTTCACAAGGAAACTGTAATTTTTCTTGAAATAATACCTTTGAATAAAAATAAAAAAATGAAAATCACTTTCATTTTGTGTTGCTTTGTTTCACTTGGAGGTCCACACCTTCATCGTGGAGGTCCACACCAAGAGCTTATTGATACGTGGGGGAGGGACCACATGTTGATAGTATTTCTGCTGCTCCAATGTATAGGTGAACTTTTATGTTTAAATTCATACTAGGTTGTGTGTGCTATAACAGGTACACTTTAACTGCAGATTTGGAAGAGCAAACCGGAAAAGCCACAGCTATACATCACTGATATGTAGACACTAGTAAGGTTATTCTGTCTAGTGTGAGTTTATAGTAATCTAAAGTTCTTGGCCCCCAACTGTCTTTGTCAGGACAGTGCGGACATCAGGGCTCTGTTTTGCTGTCCTGTTTTAGTTTCCCCCGAGCAGTACAGTGCAAGCGCATCATTCAGCGGGCTCTAGAACACTACAGCAGTGCTCCCAGCATGTTTATGTCAGTAAGTGGCTGGCCAGACAAGCTTTACCCAACCATTATGGATGTTGCCGGTGACGCAATTGCATCACTAATGACGACCCTCTCAGAGCCTGCCCCACTGCGCCGGTTGCATACCTCCCAATGTTTGGAGGTATGAAAGTTAAAGGGACACTATAGTCACCAGAACAACTACAGCTTAATGTAGTTGTTATGGTGGGTATAATCATTATATGCAGGTATTTTCATGCAAACACTGCCTTTTCAGAGAAAAGACAGTGTTTACATTGCCCTTAGGGACATCCCGAAGTGGCCACTCCTCACGTAGCCACTGGAGGTGCTTCCTGACTCAGTGCTGCACAGTAGGCAGCACTGCCATTCAGCGTCTCCACGCTCTGCATGGGGACACTGAATTTTCCTCATAGAGATGCATCTCTGTGAGAAGGTGCTGATTGGCCAAAGAGGTGTTAGGCCCGGACCCCATGCTGATTTTAGGCAATCCAATGCTTTCCAGTGGGAAAGCTATGGATTGGCCTTTAAATCTGCAATTCTGATGATGTCACCAAGGGGGCGGGACCAGCACTAAGATGAGTCGGGGCCAGAAATAAGGTGAGTTTTATTAACTTTTAAGGGGGCTAAGGGTGGGCAAGCCACCTAAATAGCACTATAGGGTCAGGAATACATGTTTATGTTTCTGACCCTATAGTGTTCCTTTTAATTTAAAATTTTCAGCCACAATAGTTTAATTTGCTTTCTTCAAGTCCGCTATGTTTTCAGTTTGGCTATTTTGGCCTTTGAACTTGAAATTATTGTGAATTCTCAACAATTCACACTTTACTGGTTGTGGTAGATTCAAAACTGAATTGCTAAATATCAAGACTGTGGCTGTAACAACGTTTAAAAAATTCCCCATATTAGCTGCGTTTTCCTAAAATTCAGTTTACTATAATCTGGGGTTTAGTGAAAAAAACCCTTAGTGACTAACTCTTACACAGCACATTGGATTTTTTACTCCTCAAACAAGGATCTGAATTTTATAAAGCAAGATTTTTCACCATCCAATGCTGTTATTGTGTTTTTCTTAATAAAACCCTGTTTGGTTTCTCTTTTCAGGAAAAGAAGAAGCAACATATTTTTAAGGATATAAGCTCTGACAAAACTCTACTGGTGGAGAAAGAGAAGAAAATTGCTGCTACAGTACCTATTTCTGATGCATCTTCACCTGCTCAGACTGCACAGATTCCTAAAACAAAAGAGATCCCTGATAACTTTATTGAAATCCAGCTTAATGATGAAAGCGGTTCACAAGAGATAACTGTGTCCGGTAACTTGCCTGCCGCAGCTTCTTTAGCTAATGACGAACCACCTGTAGAATCAAATAAAACTACTGAAGACATAAACAATACAAAAATAAAAGATCCAGTATGTTTTTCTCCAAGACAGGAGGGAAACATTCAAGGAGATGGCTTGGTAACAAGCGTTACAAGTGCAATGGAATGCTTGGATGTATCTACAGATTTGAATGAATGCATTGCAGAGTCTCCATGTTCCTCAGTTGGCAAACAGTCTGTAGATGTTCAGGAGCTTCACCCCGCCGTCCTTACAATGAAGGAACTCGACTCTGCGAACCCTCAACACTTTGTGGAAGCCAAAGAGATTCTCCATCTGCCAAAGGTGAAATCTCTGTATCCTGAATTACCAGTTGAAATTGTTGATCAGAAAAGAGATGTTGCTACAATTAAACCTCTTGTACATATTGAGCGTCTGTATCCAGAAATTCCCCAGCAGCCAAAGCCTCTCCCGTTCACAAAGGACCAACTGAAGATATTTGAGCCATGCTCGTGGCTTGAGAATGTGGAGTCTTTCACGGATGAGTTTGAGAGCATTGCTCATCAGGACAGACATGAATTTCATGAACTGCTCATGAATTATGCACGATGTAGGAAGCAGCTTCTGTTGGCAGAAGCTAAGTTGCAGATCATGATATCTGACTGGAAAAATATTAAAAGCAAAGTTTGGGACTTCAAGGAGGAACACATGACAGTTCAGGTAATCTACTTTAACATTTTAGACAACATGAAATTGCTACGTTTAAGGAATAGCAACAATGTCAACGATTGTTACTTAAATTTAGTTTTATTTATTATAAAATGTGTAGGTTGTATTTTATTCATTGATTTTAATTATAGCTGAACTGAAACCTCTTTTCTGCCAGCACCGAGACTAAAATGTATTGGGGGCAGACTAGATGGAATGTGAGTTCTTATTTGCTGGTCCAATCCCACCCCTGACTGGGAAATCTTGAATTATTTGTATCCATGTGCAGCCTTACTAATGCATTTGGCACTTTTACAGACTTATTCACCTAATTGGGAATTATCAGGAATTCAAAGGGAATTTCAAATTTAGGACCAGAACTGCAAACTGGGAAAAAAAATCTCCAAGTCAAACTATTACTTCAGTACAGCTACTTCGGCCTTACATTTGAAATTCACGAGTTCTCAACAATTCTAACTTCAGTAAATATTTCTCCCTAGAACTGGGAAACCTAGGCTCAAATCCTAGTAACGCCATCTTACCAGTAAGTGTCCTTGGGCACAGCATCTAAAGATATATAATTGTAACGCACTGCAGATTATGTTGGTGCTATATAGATGCTAATGATAGTAATGTATAAGTTAACAAACTTCAGTATCATACATGGTGACTCAATATTTAACCTGTTACAATATGGGATTGTAAAAGGAGCAAGTACGCATAGGCTTATGCTCTGTACTGTTAACTCACAAAGGGTGATAGCTGATCCAGGCTGAGGACATTTTTAATTCAAGGCTATTTTGTAAATTAAATTATATATTTGTATAATTCTTCTTGAACTTGGTATCAACTAAAAAAAAAAAAGAAAAAAGAATGCATTGTGAGTAGCGGAACCAAGTATTAAACTATTAGAGACTTCCTGGAATAGAAGAAAACTGTTTAATATGCTGATTGGTCTTAAATATCTTGCATTTTTCCCTGCAGGGTCTTTGTGAAGATCAGGCCAAAGTTGTTGGCTATCATCATTACCAAACAGCTGAAGTGAATGAATCTGCATTAGGAGATCTGAAGCGACTATTTGAGCTGAAATCCGATCACTTGCATCAGACATTCGCCCTTCATTCTTACACGTCTGTCTTATCCCGTCTGCAGGTTGAATCTTATATGTACGGCTTGGTCAATAACTCCCCATTTCTAAGATCTGTGGCGATTTATCCACCTGACCACGGTAATTATCCCAGTTTACAATCCTTTCAAACCATTTGAGATACAAAGGCTTTTTAGGACCATAAGGGGACACTATAGTCCCTAAAATAACTTTAGCTTAATGAAGAAGTTTTGGTGTATGAATTGTCAGTCTCAGTGCTCAATTCTCCCATTTAGGAGTTAAACCACTTTGCTTATGGAGCCCTAGTCACACCTCACTGCATGTGACTTACACAGTCTACCTAAACTCTTCTTGTAAAGAGTCATCTAATGTTTGCACTTCCTTTACTGCAAATTCTGACTAATTTAGAATTTCACATCTCCTGCTCTGTTAGTAGTTAGCTAGACCCTACAGGAACTTGCTGTATGTAATTAAAGGGACACTATAGTCACCCAGACAACTTCAGCTCAATGAAGTGGTCTGGGTGCTAGGTCCCCCTCAGGTTTTAACCTTTCAGATGCAAACATAGCAGTTTCATAGAAACTGTTATGTTTACATTTGGGGTTAAGCCAGCCTCTAGTGGTGGTCTTCCGGACAGCCACTAGAGGCGCATCTGCAACGCTGGAGGCATATTAGGCCTCCATCGCGCAGAGCGTCCATAGGAAAACATTGAGAAATGCATTCCTATGGACACTTTGAATGTGGGGGGCCCCTAATGGCACTATAGTGTCAGGAAAACCGCTTTGTTTTCCTGACACTATAGTGATCCTTTAAAGTTCAATTTACAGAGCAGGAGATAAAACCTTTTGAAGTAAGTAAAGATCTTATTAAAAATGAAACCATTATTTTTTTCATGCACGCTGTGTGAGTTAAAACCAGGGGAGGTGTGACTAGGGCTGCATAAACAGAAACAAAAGGGATTTAACTCCTAAATAACAGTGAATTGAGCAGTGATACTGCAGAGGTAGGATCTATATACAAAAAAGTTTCCTGCAAAAATCTGTAACTAAATCAGCAGATGGATACCTCTTGGAAATATGAAACAACAAGATCCTTTGCAAATCACATAAAAATGGCACATCTGTCTGTTTAGTGTTCTCACTTTAATTTTGAAAGTGAAAGCAATTTCATTATCTAGAATGCATTACTGTTCGAGTTTAAAAAATAAATAAAATGCATGAATATGTTCTGACACATAGGGACACTTGTATTAATTCACTTTTTTTTTTTTTTTTAAATGATGCTCAAGATCAGTAAACAGAAACAAAATATACGACTGATAACCGTTGAAGGACAAAGTCCTTCCTTATTACTGTAGGACACACAGCAGTTTTGGCTTATTGTAAGGCCCTTAGTGAGAAGAAAAAAATGGGGAGGAAGGGTGAAAGAAAAGAGGGATGCCTAGCTTGCATTAATGAACACATGGTTGACTAAGAAGAATGACCCTAACTCCTAAAGTGAGTCCTCTCCTTACTATTACCCAAAGCTATAGCCTGACACCATACCCATCTAAGCCTCACAAGCTCAACTTTCCATGAACACGAGCTTAGAGTAGCGTAGTTTAGGACATGTGATAGATAGACCATATAGAGAGGCAATGGTAGATTTCATATTGTACATTTCCTCCATCTGAGATATCCACTGCTGGAGAGTAGACCTGCTGTCATTCCTCCAGTACAAAGGAATGAGAACATTGGCTGCATTTAGTAAATTCGTCATGAGAGATGTTTTACAGGCTGGAATAGACTCTGGTTTGAATGGAAGATCCAGGTCCAACATAAATATAACCATACAGATTTGCATCCATTGTTGTGGCTGTATTTGTATTTTAAGTCTCTCTTAACTCTCTTGTGTTCAGGTCCCCAATGTCAACTTTTTTTTTTTTTTTAAATACAGGTTCCCAAAAGCTAGAAGGTTCCCATTCTGATGTCATCCTACTGAAGGAATGTATTAGTGTCTTGTTCAGCTTCACACGGAGAGTCATTGAAGATGTTCAGTTTCAGAATGATGTCCTCATTTGGCTTCAGAAACTGGTAATCACCATGTGTCTTATTTTTTTTTCAAAAATCTACTCTCCTCAATGTATTTCTTTTGGATGAGCTTTTCAAATGATCATGGTCTGTTAGAAAACTTTTTAAAATTATTTATCTATACTCTGCTGAAATTTTAGTAAAAAAATCTTTTGAAATGTTTTTTCTAATCGATTGTGATCATTTGAAAAGCTTATCCAAAAAATTTAAATAGACATCCATGTTTCTATCTGCCCACAAACCCACTCGTGGCCTTTATCACAATCCAGCTCTTTAATCAATAAAGTTTTCTGAACTTTTGTTGGACTTGACTGTAAAGCCAGATGGTGATGAAGGTCTTCATTTATTAGCTGAGAATGTTGGAATGTAGTGGTTGTGGTACTTGGAGCCTTCCGTTAAAGAGTTGCTCCGAACAAAAACAAGTGTTTTCATAAACTTGCCTCTTTTCCATTGCTGAGCCCACGTTCTCCCCTCAGCACAATCCTTCCTTGGCTGATGTCAGTGGGTGGCTTGGAGTGGGCGCTTTGGCTATATGTACAGTATGCTGGCGCCAGATGTAAATATTGGTGCGGACAGAGATAGAGGGCTTAAAGCAGCACTGTCATGCCGAACTTAACTTTCCCTAATCGATTCCCCTTCTCTCTCTCTGTCAGGATCTGTTCTTCATTTCTTCCTGTCTGCTCTAGTTTTCCTTAAAACATAAGACAAAGTAGGGACTATTTTGTCTTATGTTTTAAAGAAAACTAGAGCAGGCAGGAAGAAATGAAGAATGCATCCTGACAAAGGGAGAGGAGACGAATCGATTCAGCATGACAGTGCTGCTTTCATCTCAGTATGTGCAACGTTTCATTGTGAAATATTACACATAGAGACTCCAGACATCATGATCACTTAGAATAACTGAAATGGTCATGGTGTTTGAATTAACCTTTTAAGTAAGAAGTGCTATGGAGCTGGATTAATCTTTGTTTTTCTCTGTAGGTGTCCATCTTACTAAAAGTTGGCTGTTTGGGAGATCACCTCTTCCTCCTGAACCACATCCTTCGGTGTCCTGCTGGTGTCAGTAAATGGGCAGCTCCCTTTGTTCAGGTATGTGCATGTTGTATTTAGAGTGTAACTGCCTTTAACACGTTCTCTTCTGCTTTGCAAGTACATAGTCTAATCACATATTGATTATAAACACCAAGAACTGGCCTGGATCTACTAGCAGTTTGTAAATATACTGTAGATAAATGATATCCTTTTTAAACTGATCCATTGATTCCTTTTACCTAACATGCTTGGGGGATTTGGGCCAATTATAAAGAAATTTACTTTTACATTTGATCAGCTATTTTCAGCATTGACCGTCAGCTATTCAATTAAAATGTATCTGATTTGATATGTTTTTACTTCTCTTGGTTCATGTAACAAACACTAACAAAGAGGAAACACTATTTCTTTTTGGTTTTAAAAAAAATAAAAACATGCCTAAGGTATATTTAAAGTGAATACGATTGTAGGTACATGCAACATCTTTTATTCAAAGAGAAATAGCAGAACAATACAAATTTAATATTTGTTTTGTTTTAGGTTCGAGTCTTGCACAATCCTGCAGGAGTTTTTCACTTTATGCAGCTTCTTGCCTTGCTGATGTGTCCTGTTCGGTAAGGAAAAAGTGGAATTGTATGTGCTATTTGTAGTGTATTGTGTTTATTTTGTGACTTTCTTTAAATGTTGTTTTTTATTTAACACCTTAATATGTTTAAAAAGTATCCCTCACAATGGACATCTCAATGGTAGTGTTTCTCAAACACATGGTTGAGGTTTTATCCATTTTCCCTGGGAACAGAATTTAGTTTTCATGAATTATTGGACTATCAGTTCTCATAAAGGGCTTGAGAAATTCTGAGCTAAGGAATCCTATTTGTGTGGCAGACCTATGCATTGCCTAACTCATTTTTCTCCATTGCAGAAATCGAGTGGATTTCTTGTGCCACATGAAGCCAAATGAAAGAAAAAGTTTGTCTTCTGGCAAAGAGTCTGGAAATTGGACGTTGGTTGATGAGGGAGGAGAGGAGGTAAGTTAAGCATTATGTGCTTTTCTCTTGTCAAGGGTTATCAATACAAAGGTCAGATCACTGCATATGACATGAAAAATTGGGATTATTGACAGAGTTTGGTAGGTTGATAATGTAATACTGTACATATAAACTAAATATATATATATTATCTGTGTATGTGTGTATATATATATCTGTACATATTTTTTTTATCTGTATGTGTGTGTGTATATTATTATTATTATTATTATTATTATTACCATTATTACCATTATAATTGCCATTTATATAGCGCCGACAGATTCTGTAGCACTTTACAATATTAAGAGAGGGGGAATTAAACTATAAATAGGACAATTACAAGAAAACTTACAGGAACGATCGGTCTGTAGGAAGTTGGGTATAAAACACATTAGGATAGGAAATAGCAATCAAATAAGGTGGGGGTGAAGCAGAGCTGGAGGAGAGAGTAGAGTGCTGCCCTTTAGGAGCGAGGAAGAGACAGGTATGTGAGGTAGAGGTTACTCTGGGAGGCCATAAGCTTTCCTAAAGAGATGGATTTTAAGGCGCTTTTTAAACGATTGAAGACTAGTGGAGAGTGTGATGGCTGTAGGCAGGTTATTCCATAGGAAGGGAGCAGCCCGCGAGAAGTCCTGTATGTGTGAGTTGGCCATACGGTGAGAGTAGCGGACAGGAGAAGGTCACATGCAGAGCGGAGAGACCGAGAACGGGTATGCCTATGGATCTGTGAAGAGATATGAGGGGCTAGAATTGTTCAGTGCTTTATATGTATGGGTTAGCACTTTGAATTGACTCATAGGATACAGAAAGCCAATGTAAGGACTGACAGAGGGGTGAGGTGTGAGAGGACCGACTAGAGAGGAAAATCAGTCTGGCAGCAGCATTCATCACAGACTATAGCGGGGAAATACAGCTTTGGGAAGGAGAGGGTTACAATAATCCATGCAGGAAATTACTAGAGTATGGTCAAGCTCCTCGGTAGCATCTTGCATAAGAAAGGGGCGGATGCGGGCTGTGTTTTTAAGATGGAATCTACAGGAATTGGCAACATAAAGGATGTGAGGCTTAAAGGTGAAGTCAGCATCAAGTATGATGCCAAGACAGAGCATATACCACTAATTTGAAGGGAGAGCGAAAGAGAAGGAACAAATTCCAGATGCCAGGTCGCTATGACGACTAGGAAATTTGTCCTGGGGCCTGGGAGGGGTGAGCCGATTCAGCCTCTGAGGTGACCGGCTCGTGGAGAGCGATTATACTACAAACAAAAAATACAACCCAAGTCTGCAAACTAGAAAATAATTATAAATATACTTATCAGTGACACAGAAACAGCTTCCCACAGATCACCTCCCAAATGGTGGTCTTAACAAACCATAGAAATACACACAATGCACGTGGGATTCAGCTGGTATGTCTAAAAGAAAACAAGTAAACAAAACATGGTGTGATACAGTTAAATACAAGAGACACTCTCTGCTATAGATTGCACTTACGATATATTGGAATAAGAAGCACTCCAAGGGTGCCTCCCCCGAAGTGGATGGGGGGAGCTAGTATCTCCTTCTCAGGGTTGAACTTATCACCATAAATCAGGAACCAGCCAGTACTCTAATAGGTAAATAAACTTAAAATGGCTTTTATTTAAAAATGACAATAAAATAATCGGTCCCAACATTGGGATTTCCTCAGAGACCAATATGAATACAAACCGTAAAAATAATTAGGCTCCCAAAAGCAGCCTAATCCGTCCGACCCTTGAGTCCCCTCAAATAGGGCTAATCCCTCAAGTCCATTGGTGCTCCAATGGGCGTCTTCCCTTCTTCTCTATTCCATTGGAGAATTCAGCTCTTGCTTCACCTGCTCCTTAATGTGTAATTTCGAATAGCCTTTCTCCCAGCTGTGGGCAATTCCTCCAATCAAAGAAAACGAAAGTGCCGTCCGAGACACTCCTCCGTGCGTTTCAAGCGTGTACTTCTGTGTGTTTCAAAGGCCCTCATGGAATACAAGATGGCTGTGTGCTCCACTGTGTATCCAAGAATGTCTTGTGATGAAAATTGATCTCCTCCTGGTGTTCTGTAGGGGCATCTGATTCAATTAAGCAGATAGGGAGAGGCTTCTAGTGATGTAGTCCCCACTAAGGGGAGAGTGCAGTTAGTTCTCATTTAATATATCAATTCCCCCAGATTACAGTGTGGACATGTAAAAAGTATATATTGATTTATTTCTTAAAGTGCAGTGTATATAGATATCTGATTAAACACGCAGTGTCTAGTGATTATCTTACTTTTGTAAAAGAAACATACAAATATTAATCCATTACTGTTCATATTGTAAATTCCATTTTTTTTATTCTTAACACACCATTTTAGTATCAGTGAAATTATCTGACTTAACAATAAATTAATACATTAATCATACTCATCGAAAAAGTATCGGTGCCACACATACCCATTAATGCTGGGTGTTCTAGAAAAATCCCCTCATGGAGAGCTGAACGAGGCAGGCGGTTCACTGAGTTCAGAGGCGTCAAGAAAGCTGTAATCTTCCTGCTCTGCTGCCTCGCGCTACTTTCCATGATGCCTGGCATACTAAACATTGTGCGAGCAATGCATCCCCACTGGAACCCAGGAACAGTATTCACTCCAGCTCTCCCAAAGGTAGGGAGGCTGGGTGGACAAATTTAAATAAAAAAAATTATAATTTGTGAGTGTATGTGAAAATGTGTGTGTATTTGAGTTGCAGTATCAGTGTGTGTCTGTCTGTCAGTGAGTGTGACCCAGGAAGGATCTCTAGAGGCCGTCTGAGTGACTGCCAGTAGAGTTGTTACTAAGCAGCAATGTAAACCTAGAAAAGCGTGCACGGATAGGGGTTAAAAACCCCTTCTGTCACTTACCTTGGTCCAGTGCCGATGTCTTAGTCCGCCTTCGCTCCTCCCCACCGATGTCAGCTGGCGGGGGATACCTAACGCGCATGCGCGGCAATGGCCGTGCTTGCGTTAGGATTTTCACATTATATAATGCCTTCCTATAGGGATTTGGGTGCCGTTGAAAGTCTTCATGCATAGCGTGAGGATGTCCAGCGTCCGTTAAGAAACCAAAAGTCGCCTAACGGTCCAGAAGTCCCTCTAATCGCTGTCTGGTAGACAGCCACTGGAGGTGGAGTTAATCCTGTAAAGTAATAATTGCAGTTTATTAAAAATAGCTCTTCTATGTTTAGCCCTTCTATGGAACCTGGGCCACTGCACCCAGACCACTTCAATGAGCTGAAGTGGCCTCGGTGCCTATGGTGTCCCTTTAGAAAGTGTCCACTCTGTAATAGAACTTGCAGTGTGGTCTATGAAATCTAGCATTTAGTGATATGACTTGATTTTTAAAGTGAACTGTTAGGATGTGTTTTTGTAAAACCCAAGATCTCCTTGATGTAGACCTTTGCATTGTGAGTTCTCTTTTCCCCCTCATTCTATTTTGTTTTTTCTTTTTCTGTAAAGCCTTTTGGTTATAACATCGTGTAAGTGGGCAGAACAATCTAAATGCCACATAGAATTCTGGAAATGGTGGGAAAACTAATTCTAAAAATAATTTGACTGTTTCTTTAATGGCTCTCTAACATGTATTTTGGATGTGTATTGCATCTTTTATTTATAGAAGAGCAAGTAACAATCTTGGTTTTCTTGCAAAAGTCTATAATGAAATCTGTAGAGTAATGCTTGAATCAGATCCTATTCATAATGCTTCATAGTGCTAACCAGACATCATTCTATATTTCTTTAATTCATGTGAACATACCTGTTCCTGTAATAGTGAGTTTTATCCAGATATTGCTTCTTTTTTTTTTTTTGTTAGGATGAGGACCCAGAGACCAGCTGGATGTTGTTATCAGAGGATGATCTAATTGCCCTTCTTACCCAGTTTCCTTTCCAAGATCTGTTCAAAAATGTTCTTGGTTTCAATCATAGAGGTAAGTGCTCTCTTTAGTGATACACAATCCTAACATAGTATCATTAACACATTACCAATGACCACTACTGACCATACCATCATTTCTGGTTTTGATGTTTTAGCCCAGTAAACACAATTTTTGTCAGAAAATTGTAAAATTGTCAGATGCTTTTACTTAAAATTAACATGCAGTGTGGTCTATGGACAGGTTAATACATATTGTCATGCTGAAACATGTATAGGTTTGTATTAAAGCTCTTTATGCAAATATACTTGCTTTTCTGCAAGTTGTCAGCTTCAAACACACACACACACACACACACACACACACTCTCTCTCTCTCTCTCTCTCTCTCTCTGCCTGCCTGCCTCCCTCCCTCCCTCCCTCCCTCCCGAATAAATATTTGTTCCAGCTACTTCCTGGTTCCCAATTTCTCACCGAAGAAGCTGCAAATGCAAGGCTTTCAAATGTGATCCAAAAGTTTAACTGGCAAACCTTTGAAGGGACATTGTAGGTTTTGTGTCTGCTTTAATTCATTAAACAGGTTTTAGTGTCTGGACTTCCTTGGTACCATCATTTCACAGTTTTTAATGTTTTAATGCTAAACAAGAGTCCCCAGCAGCCCATCCCATCTGTATAGCTTTGGATAAATAGGAAGTATTAACCTGAGCAGCAATGGGGAACTGTGATTGCCTGAGAGTGTCAGGTGACTTATTTTAGCCTGTCAGAGCTCCAGCTGATGGTATGAATGGGTATGACTACAAAGAAGTGTGTAATCTCTGCCTTGGTCACTCCTCCAGAAGGGACTGGACTGTGGGTGGCCAGGGACATTTATTTAGTGTTGCTGCTCTTATGCGGTTTAACACTAAATGGAGTGACAGTGCCAGGGGACTCCAGGCACTATAACCAATGAAATGGTTATGGTGACTACAGTGTCCCTTTAAGTATTCGTGAACCTATAAGCTATATGCAATTTGCACTTTCTAGCCATGGTTTTGTTCTACACAGTGAGATTTAAAAAATGTCGTCTCTTTATTCACAAGTAATAAAACTCTTCTGTATTTAACAGGTGACTACTTCCCTGAGAAAACTACACCACAGGAAATGATGAAGATGTTTGCTTTTACCAATTCATTAGTGGATCTTCTGGCTCTTGGGCTAGAGACCTTTAACAGAGCACGGTATCGACAGTTTGTCAAACGGATTGGTCAGATTATACGGTATGTTTAATGATAATAGGTTATGTTGGCGCTGTGTAAATACCAGAAATAACTTAAAAATAATAGGCAGTGATTATGGTGCTTGGATTGTAAAAGAAGGTAGCAAGGCGTACTAATTTATGTGTACTGTTATAACATAAGTTTTCTTTAATTTTTTTTTAATTTTTTTTTTTTTAAAGCTGTGTAAAATAGTTTTGTGCCCATTTTATTTTTGCTCTGGTTACTATTCCTTGTAGCAGTGAAATTATTAAACACAGAAAATCTTGGTTTCATTCTTCTTTTCCACAGGATGGCTCTGAGCTATGTGAGTGATCACTGGGAACTCTATCTGAGTAGCAATAGTGCCTCTACCCAGAGTTCTGAGCTGTACTCCCTGGGTAAGCTGCAGGCAGGGTATGACGAACTGTTCCTGCGATCTGTTCTCTATGTCCTTAAAGCGAAAAGGTAAGAACTGGAAAATAAATGTATAATTTTGCCATATTTAGTGTCTTAGGTGTGCACTATATAGTTCTGTAATAGGTTATTTTCTCTAAGCATTAAGTTATATTGAATTGGCATCTAATTTGTAAACATTTGGCTAAAATCGTTGTATTATTATTATTTTGTTTATTTTTTTTACCCTTAACCTGTTTACTGAACGAACTACATTGTGTTGCACATGTCTCTGGTATCATTAAGGTGACATTTAAATATATGTTCTACTTTTTGCATAGTGGTCCTTTTTATTTTAAATTACAGCATGTAAACTATATAATCTCATACTACATCCTCTAGGGGGAAGACTAGGAGTGTCACATATAGGATATGGCTTTACATTCAAAAAGGAAATAAACTGAGGAACAAACAAAATCAACTGTGAAATAATTCACCTAAAATATTATGATGATGACTGTAGTTACAGCCACTTATTATGAATAAATATATCCAAGACTTTAAAGGGAAACTATAGTGCCAGAAAAACAAAGTTGTTTTCCTTGCACTATAGTTTCCTATAGTGCCCCCTGTGGTGCCGAACAATTACCTGATTCCAGCAACGTTGTCCCTTGGTGCAGGTTCAGGCTCCGCCTCTACTCCTCCTCCTCCTGCCGATGTCAGCACAGGGGGAGACTTGATGCGCATGCACAGCAATAGCTGCGCTTGCATTTGTACGTGCATGTATAATGTTTTCCTATAGGATGACGCTGGATGTCCTCATGCGTAGCGTGAGGATGTCCAGCGTCAGGTGACCAAAAGCTGCCTAATGACCCGGAGGTCTCTCTAGTGGCTGTTTGGTATACAGCCCCTGGTGGATTTATCCTTCAAAGGTAATTATTGCAGCTTTATTAAAAACTGCAATAATTACCTTTGCATGGTTAAGGGACCTGGGACACTTCACCAAGACCACTTCAATGAGCTGAAGTGGTCTGGGTGCCTATAGTGTCCCTTTAATTTATGATTCAGAAAATTTTGTATAAACTGTTGGCCAGATGGTACTACACCCCAAGTGCACTTTTTCACTGTGCGGACGCATGTCCCTCAAAGACATATTTATGCTGAGGGTATGGGAAGGTGGAGGGCATTCTGCTGCACTTGTGATGGATTTGCCCTCTATTGAGAACAACTCCACCGCACTGTTTTATGCTTCTCATTTTTGCTATACCATTTTTTTTCTGTCTCCATGCTTCATGTATCATGACACCATGAAACCACCACAGTTTCCACCAGTTTCACTTCATTTTGCAGGTTATTTTTTTGTGTGGCTTTTTTGTCTTCTTACCATCCCATACGATAATTGCACACTAATGATCTCATTGCAAAATTGTTTTTATGTTGACTGATAAACTGTGATGTGATATGTTAATGTTTTTATGGCTTACTGTTTTCAGAATTTCTGTAACATTTGTTTTTCTGTGTCACAGGCTTGGGATATGGCTTTTTATGTCTGAGATGCCTTTTGGAACATTGTCAAATAGTATGCTCTGGAAGCTATTTTATCTCATGCATGACGCAGAAAGCGAGAGTATGTCAGAGCTATATCCTACTGTAGACATGGCTGCATGCAGTTCCAGACTAAATGGTATTTATTTTTACAAATCACAATGATTTTTCCCCAAAACTTTTAAAAAGGCTTTTGAAAAATATCAGTACCGTTCAAACCAGATATGCACAATGAGATGCGCTCAGCTATGACACATTACCCGAAAAGGGAACATTTTCATTCAGTTATGTTTTAAATTGATCTATTTTGGTCAAAAATGTAAAATTAATTTAAAATTTCCATCATTGCATAACCCTTCATTAGTATTTTAGCATAAAAAACAGAACACACAAAAATAGCAAATCTGATTTTAATGTGAAGTACTAGTACTTAAATGGTTGGCCTTTTTACTCTGAATAATTTTAAGACGCATAGTATCCATTGCTTTTTTTCCCGTATTAGATCCAGAAAACAAACTGAAGTTTGAGGAATATCTTTCCACAATGAACAGCTCAGAAGGGATTTGTCTTCTCACTACTTTTGCTCAGATGGCACAAACCAAACATCAAGATGTGGATGAAGAGCTGGTTCAAAGCATAGCCTTGGAGATTTATGAGGTTTGATGGACTGCAGGGTTTCAAATGCTCTTAATTTGATACATTTATTATTTGATATTTTTGTTCCTGACTACATGATATTTTGATAGAACATTTTTTTGCTATATATTTGCAACAAAATGTGAATTGTCTGAGAGCAACCTTGTTATTAGAACCATAAACATAGAGCAGATAAGGTAATTTATTTATATATATATCTATATATATTTATTTATTACAATGCACACTGGGATGGGCCTAAATCAAGAAAACTATATAGTTCACAATATAACAGATTTGTATTCCTAATGCTATAGTGTCCCCTAAAATGAACCTATAGGTTTAAAAAAACAAAAAACAATAACAAAACAAAACTTTTTTTTCCCTCAGGACTATAAGCTCACTTCAATCACTGAGCCCACTGTCCACCCCATTTGCTGATAAAAAGACAAATTTAAATAAAGATTACCAAGCTTGTTTCCAGTACAAAGACTCCTCTGCTGCAGCTGCCCGCTCAGTCTCCAAAGATGCCAACATGCCTGCTGATGTCTACTGTGATCTCGTCCAATGAGATACACACGTAGTCAAACGCTGTGCTCCTCCAATCAAATGCTGTTATGAACAGCATTTGATTGCACGTCTGAGTTTCACTCATAACTGCCTCTAGTGGCTAATGAGCTCTGGGTGACTTTAACCCCTTAAGGACACATGACGTGTGACATGCCATGATTCCCTTTTATTCCAGAAGTTCGGTCCTTAATGGGGTTAATGCTGTATATATGTATGTATTTATTTATTTATTTATAAAATATTTTACCAGGAAGGATACATTGAGATTGTTCTTGTCCTGGGTCCACAAACACTGCATTGTTACAATAGGGTACAATATAATATTACAAAAAATAATACAATATAATGATAATAAATAAATATATATATATATATATTTATTTACATTGTCTGGAGCAAAACTAATGTTTATCACCAATAAGGGTGCAGATAAATATTGGCAAATGAGTTTGAACAGGATGGATATTTCTTTTTGCAAATATGTAACTGTTCTACTTTACTAAATCACATTATTTAATAAAGTGCCAGATCCAATCCAATCAACCTGCTTGAGTTTTAGAGTCATTGCCTCATATTAGGGCTGAATCCATTCCAACATGTGCACAAGCCTGCTCTCTCCTTTGAGCTGGCCTGCATGTGTGAAAGAGAAAATTGTATGTGTTGACAACAATTTTCTACAGTTACATAGCTGGAGTGTGCTTGTCCTTGGGCATCATTTTGGATAGCTAAGTGTACGTGTATTGGAAATGTGTCTGAGGAAGATTAGAGGGTTCAAACATAATGACATTATGTAATCTACTATTACTGTTATAAAATTCCTGCATCAATGGTACTCCACTTCCTTAAATCTGTTTTTGTCCACTTTGCAGCATTTTTTTCATAAAGAGATTCTATATATAGATGTATACATATAGTATACCGCCAGTGTTCTAACTGCTGAAGACCTGTTCCTTGTAGACTTATAGAGTTGCCTTCTGGGCTCACTGGGATTAAATCAATTATTGTGGAGAATTTTTGGAGAAAGTATCAAAATCAAAAAATATTTCTATGACCTAATATTTTAACCACAATCCCATTTTAATAAATATGCCGGAATATTTTTTTTTCCTGCATTACATTTATTCAGAAACTAAATGCTGAGCAACTGTCAACATTTTTCCACATGAATTACTGTCGATATACTTCAAGTCGGGATCAGTTTTACCCTGACTGTTTTTAGTCATTAGTAGTTTTCAGATTATGTTTTGAGTTGCTGTATGATACATGGGTATTTGTTACTGTGTATAAAATGGGATTTTTGACACACATTGTATTGATTCTTAATGTTCCCTTCTCTCCAGGTATCCTACGTGAACCTCTCTACCAGAGAGACATTTTCTAAAGTGGGTCGTGAGCTTCTTGCCACAATCACTTTTGTGCACACTAGTATGATTTCTGTCCTCCTGGAACGTGTCCGGGCCACCATTGATAAAGTGGGAATGGTGAGCATTGGTTTAAATAATTTTAATGTTGTTTTTCTGTATCTGTGGGCTGTTATCACTGTACGTTTGTGGACGCATATTGCTTTTGTGGGTAGTTGCATGGGTCATGTTGAATTTATTCTGAATTTAATTGCGTTTGTGAACAAACCTTATTTAACCATCTTTTTCCAAGTTACTTAAGCTAGTTGCCTGTACATCCACTGGGTGTAAATGTGTTAAACGTAAAATATTGGGGGTTTTGCTGCCCCTCTAGTTTACAATTTCTCTGCTCCCCAGTTTTTCCAATACCAGTTGCCAAATTCGTGTTTACATATTAAAACTGTTCACAGATAGTGTTCTGCATTAGGGATATATCAACAATGCTGATGTCTTATTGTCCCAGTGTAGTAACTCAGATATTGACATAGTTTTTTGTTTTTTTTAACAGCAGAGTTTGGGATCCCTGTAGTTAACCGACTTCATTGACACTTGTGTTTTGTTTTTTTCTCATGTGTTTTTTTTTTTTGTTTGTTTTTTTTTTCTTATTTCCTTCTAAGGTATCCTTATATTTATTTAAAGAATTGCCTTTACATAAATGGCGTCCAACCTCCTCTGAAATCGGCATGATTCGGGACTGGCTGCTCAATCACAACCTCTCCGAGGTGGAAAACAAGCTGGCCTGTGTTATACTGGAAGGTCTCAACTGGGGGTTGAACGAAGAGGTGTGTTGTGGGTTTTATTGTGGGGCATATAAGCTGAATTCAAGCTTTTTAGGAAGTTTAATGTGGAGAGTGGAGGGTAGTGATGAGTTGTCATTTGACTATCAGTTTGTTTAAAGTAGCCAGGCTGAACATTTTCAAATCTATCCTAGATTAAGATTTTCTTTACCGCTCTGTTCTTGTTAGAAATGTTATTAGACAATACAGATCAATGTTTAGTGAATAAATCCCACTAATAAAACATCTTTATGTAAAATAACGTTTTCTTATTAATTAAGAAATTTCTGTCAAAATGTGGAAAATAGCAGTGCCTCGTAATAGCTTCTTCCGTCTTCAGTGCTGATAGAACAGGCGTCATATCCTGAGCAATACTCAGTAGATACTTTTGATTTCTCCCTATTCACGTACGAGAAGATATATAGATAATCCTGCAGTTCTTTTTTTACATCTAATACAGCTAGAATCTCTACTCTAACATACTGTAAGTTATGTGTAATTGTATTATACTTAATACTATACTCGGTGCTAGCATGTTGTGCACATTATTACATGATATTATTGAAAGCTTTTTTGGGGGGCCTGCAGCTCTATCTGCTGCAAGTGTTTCCTGTACAATTTATAGGCTACATCTTTGCAACTTCTACATCTCACCCGTTCATCCACGTGTTTTGTGAAGAAAGGTCCAAATGATGTACAGCAGCATTTTTTCTTTTCCTGATAGTGCATTTCATTTTCTTCTGTAAACTTATAACCGTATAACTGACAATTTGTTGATTACAAGTATGTAATGATTGTGAGTGATTAGGGAATGTTCTGAATGATTTTGATATTGAACTGTATTTTTTTGTAGTCAGCATGGTTGATATATTGATCTTTAACAGAACGCTCTTCACCTCGATGCTGCCGTTCATGTTGAAGTTGCCCTTATGGTCCTTGAAGCATACCAGAAAAATATCACGGAGAAGCCGTACACCGGACTGATTTCAGAAAGCATAAAGCAGGTACTCCTAGTTTGTTGCCACGTTTCTTGTAGAGTCTTCTGCAGTTTCGAAATACACTGCATTGTCCTTTTGTAGGCTTGTAAGAAATACTTCTGCGGGGTTTTTTATTAATTCTGTTGTACCTTTTCTCTAAATAAAGGTATCTTACTTAGCCAGTATTGTCCGAACGGGTCAAACTCCTGAAGCTTCTTTCAATCAGTGGGCTTGGGATCTAGTGCTAAGGCTCAAATTGCACAGAAATGACAACCTGAAGCAGCTGTGTGATAAAGTTCCTGACTTGACAGAAGCCTCTATTCTGCATCCCGTGCTTAAAGCAGTGAAACTGGGTATCCCTATTGGCTGTTACATTGCTCTTGCGGTTTCCTCAATTGGACACAGGTAAATGCACCTTACATGTGTGTGACATACGGGTTTGATTTGGAATGATTGTTGCTTTTTAAAAGAAAGAAAGAAAAGGAAAGACTTAAAGCGGCTCTGTCAACTTCTCGGGTTTTTTCTTTTTGCCGCTGGTAGTGTGGTGGCAGCCATTTTCTTCCAGAGGATCCTCTTCAGCTTCTGGCGCTTCATCTGCAAAGAGTTGACATGAGTGCTGTACTCTGTCACATGCGTGAAAATACAACACTAGTGCCTATGGAGGATCCCACAAGAGCTTTGTAAAGAAAAAAAAAATGCATGAAACAAAGTAGTCCCTATTTTGTATAGTGATTTTTAGTTGGAATTCCAACACAGTCGATGTGCGTATTTCAAAATGTTTTATCTTTATGAAATGCACTTTTTTAGGGATGCAAGAGACAACAACAAAAAAAAAATCCCATAAAGCATAGGTAAAAAATACTTTTACTTTTGTAAAATACTTATTACATGGTAATACAAATTACCATGAGTATATTTTAAGAATGTTTATGAATGCAATTTGACAAAAAATAAAAAGCTTTTGGTTGCCTTCTTATGTTGACTTGTTTGTTGTTCTTATTACACAGTGTTGACAAGTTCTGTGCAGAAGGTGTCACTTTGCTGGGAGAACTGATCCAGTCCAGGCACCTGCGGGCCGTTGTTCACCTTTTGGATAAAATCCTGCCCATGTTTTACCCCTGCCAGAGCTATCTCCTTAAGAATGAGTTGTAAGTTATGCCCTCTTTCTCTATCCAACATGTCTAATACAGTTTGTGCACAAGTTTTCACATAGACTGATGTTTACCAGGTATATATAGTGCAAAGAGTATTGACCATCTCTTGATTCATTCGGTGTGTGCATTAGCTTTGTATTGCCCAGAGTACATTCTTAGATCCCATCGAGTAATAGTAGACTCTTTGGATCTCAACATATTTTAATTATTTATTTTTTGTTCTTTGCTACTTCCATCTGCAGCACTAAAAGTGTTCCCCTGTGTATTTTACTCTCTGTAGGTTTTTGTCCTACATTTTACTCTTCCTTCAGCTGGACAGTGGAGCTCCTCAGGGTATGACCATGCAAATGACACATAAAGTTACTCAACACTTGACTGGAATTAATTATGGAGAAAATGTGAAGCTTTTAACAAATATGGTGCATGTGAGTACTGACTTGGTCATTTGGTTTGTCTTTGGGTGGAAGCGTCCAGCTTTGGTGATGACTAGGTTAAGATCAATTCATTACTGATCACTGGAAAAAACTAAAACAGTAGTTGTAGGCTACAATTTAGTTTGGTTTACTGTTATTCATATTGGATATTTACTGCTTACTGTTTTTTTAGGATGGATTGCATCAAATAAGCTCATCTCTTATACCTCTTACAGCATAATAATTTACTAAAATGATTACTAAAAAGAAAACTTTTGTGAATAGGTTGTAAGTCTGAGCTTACAAATGCATCAGAGGAAGATTATTATTTTTTTGGTAACTTTTTTTTGTGTACTTTGTTTTACTGGTGACCTTTAAATGCATCAGTCTATTTCCTAGTCCCCAAGTGTCTAATTGCAGCTCTCAATCCACTGCTTACTGATGGAAGCGAATTGTGGGAGTTGTAATCCATTAATAGTTTAAGGGACACAAAAGGGTTCTGAGGCTCTGCCTTGTCACCCGTTTGTTGTACAATGTTAACTACTTGTTTTGGTTTACCCCCAAAGTCTCATATAGCTGCAAGCAACAGTTCCAACGAAGTGGGTGCTGTGGCTGTGCTTGAGTTTTGGACTCAAGTCCTCATTAGCCAGCAGCTGTGGCACAGGGATAAAGGAACTCTCCACCTGATGGATGAGCTATGCAAGGCAGCATTCAGATACCTGCAAGAGGAATGTGTACAGAAACTGCTCTACCAACAGCACAAGGTAAGGCAAAATGGCTCTCCCAGGGTATTTAATGTATTTCTTCACTGACTAAGGCCTCCATTTAATACTGTTAGAAAAATATTTCCATGTGATTTATCTACAGAAGTCATCATTAAAGGATGCATGAATTTTTGTAAATAGATCATTTGGAAAGTTTTTCTAATAGTATTGAAACATTTGGAAACCTTATTAAAATGAGGCTTTAATAGCATCTAGTGTTCTCCTCATTTAACAAGATATTATACATGCATATAAGGCTGAAAGGGACTTGTCGTCCTGGGTGTGCAGGATGTTTCTTCATTGTGTCCTTCTCAGAACTGCATCACCGAGGAGACTTCCTTATGACAAGGTTTCCAAATACTTTCTCTATGTAAATAAATGGTCTAGAAATGAAGCAAAGCGTAGAGGAACATGTTTGTGTGGGTATGGAACCCCTCAGTAACCCTTTATACACATGGCATAATTTAGGTTTTTTTTTTCCATCCGATTTTAATTGAGCTTATTAATTTCTAGGATGCGTTGGGATATCACTGTGACCGTGGTCTGATCTCTTCATTTGTGGGTTGGATCGTAGCAGGCAATGTGACTCCTTCCTTCATTGATTCTGCCTACAACCCCTCGCAGGTACTGACAATGTCCATCTGTTGACTATGAAAACTTTTTATGTTTTTAATTTTAAAAGTATTTTTTTTTTTTCTACAGTAAGATTTTGTAATGGAATATAGTCTTAAACATGCATTCGATGGTTTATCTGTTAAGCGTGTGAACAGGTTCACAAATTGTCTTGATTTTTGTTTTGATTTTCTTCTTTTCCATGTGATCATTTTCAGATCTGGTTCTCTTGGATGGTCCTTAACACAGAGTCTCTGTTTGAGGAAGATTCACAGCTACGTAGAGTTGTTGAATGGGAACTTGTCAGAAATCCATCCATTACTCCGGATCAGGCTCTTAAGGTATTTACACTGACATTCATTCATGCTGTCTACTTATGCTTTATTGCTACAATCAGCTTTTGCAAATGATGCTACTTTAATAACATTTTCAGTTATTGTTGTATTATTACATATGAATGGTCTGTCTAGTTTTTAATATGGCATTGTGTTGGTTTTTTTATGTCCCGATTTTTTTGAATTTTTTTTTTTGAATAATGAACTGTAATTCTCCTTTCTTCTTACTAGAAAGCTCAGCAGCAGTTGAAGTTACCCATTGTGCCTTCAGTACAGAGGTTAATGATTTATCGTTGGGCTCATCAGGCTTTAGCTACCCCAGCAGATCATCCTCTCTTACCATTCTTTTGGCAAAAGTTCTTTCTCCTTTATCTTAATCGTCCAGGACCCCAGTATGGGTAAGGTGCTATAGTGCCATACAATGCTTCACTATTGAGTACTACAGATTATATTTAATCTTGGCGGTGAAACAATCTGACAGTTTGTACAAATGTAACATTCTACATTGCATGAGCTCTATTGTTCAAAACACGTTAATATCAGTACTGAAATTACTTCTCTGTGCAATAAACTCCAAGCTCAGTTTTTATGTGTTGTAAGTGAATTTTTTTCACAAAAGCCGTTGTAGATACGGAGTACCTCTCAAGGTGCTGTAGAGCTACTCCACTCATGTTGCTTTGTCTATAAGTTGGCAAAGATTCATGGTAGTTGTAGCTCTAAAACAGATGAAAGGGCTAATTATTATTATTTTTTATTTTTATTTTTTTTTCGGCTTACTCTTGTTTTAAGGACAATCTCACAGCACAAGTTAGAGAATCCTTAGTAGGATGAATATGGAGTCTCCGACAATAAATGTTATTGCTCTCTAGCAAAACTTGATTACAAGCACAATGGGGTTTTCATTTTGTGAAATAACATTTAAAGTGCCCTTGATTCCATTCTTAGGTGTGAAATAAATCATTACTTTTATTATGTAACACGTGTTCAGCTTTTTTACATGCTACATTCTGCTTTTGGTTCATCAAATGATTTAGATGTTTTGCAAACTGCAGCTTCCATGCTTTATTTATTTATTTATTTATTTCTTTGTGTGCTTTTACTGGTCTTTTACAATCAACTTCTGATAAATAAATCTACTCAGATATATTTCTTACTTTTAGCAAACAAATATATTATATTGCTTAGAGCACCATATACAGACGAAGCTAAATGTAGCCTGTACCATAACTTCCCTTAGTGAACACAATACGTGTGGCTCAGCCAGACTTGGCATCCAGGAAGATGTAAAGGGGTCATGAAATTATTTCTTCTCTGCTACAAGCTCAACACATATAAGCAATATTTAATTTACAAATGTACTTGAAACATACATTTTGGTTAGCTTCTTTAGGTGCCTTCCATGAACAGAAATTTCCTTATAATTATTATTATTTTTTATTTTTTTTGGTAAGTTTAATTTAGGTGTATAGTGATGCATTAGGGTAAATGGTCAAATGTGTCCAGAACGTCTGTATGTAAGCTATTTTGGATTATTCTTTTCTCAGACTTCCAGTAGATGGCTGCATTGGAAAGCGTTTTTTCAGCAGCCATGCACATGCCCACCTCCTGAAGCAGATGAAGCGCCGTCTGATGGAAGTGGCAGATTTTCACCATTCAGCCAGCAGGGCTTTGAGAGTCCTGGTCCCTATGGATGGATCACCTGTATTTTCAGACTCTGGGGGAAGCAGCCAAGAGTGTATGACCCCTCCTGACCTGCACAAGGAACTGGTGCGGTAAGGGCTTCCCTACTTATAGTAATGATAAACATAATCCTGAACTGCACAAATCTGAGTTTAATGTGTGCATTTGGAAATTAAAATCCGATTTAATGGGACTATAGAAAGTAAATTGTACCTCCTTTAATATTATATAATGTCTAGATTTACAGAAAATTATATGCTTCTGTTCAAACAAATAAAATAATAATGTACCTGTGTGCCTTTCACTGGTCTATACTCGCCTTTTGTGATACAGTGCAAAACCAAAGCTGGAAACTCAAATTTGGCAAGCTGGAGGCTCTTGTTTTTGTCAGTTAAAGGAAGAAATATTGCGCATGTGTAGCACCAATTCTATTAGTCTCTATGGGTTATGGTTGAATGGTACATGCAATTTGCAGATTTTACCGTACCTTAATGGTTCAATATACAACTGCACTCAGGGACAAATGACTATATATAAATAAAATTGCAGTACTCATGTTTTACATTTTACTGCTGGTAGAAGCTTTTCTTGTAGGCAGAAGGCAAGGTTATGGACAATTTGAAATTTAAAACTGTATGCAGATTAGCTACTCAAAATATTTGGTCAATCAGACTATATGTAGGATTCAAACACGTCTCATCTACACAAATGAGAATAAACTAACCACAAACATAGTTTTTTTTTTTTTTTTTTTCATTAACTGAATTCAGCCCGTATAAAACTGTGACAGGTCTGTGTTTATACTGGGGTCATTGAGAATCTCTATTTTTATGGTATTTGCAATATATGTTCTAAATCTCTTGTTAGATGCATTCAGAAAAGTGTTTTCTTCTCGATTCTTGCATATGAACTGAATCAAAGTTTTCAATCTCTTCTAGGTTATACAATGTGTTTATTGTCTGGCTGGAAGATGAAAATTTTCAGAAAGGTGATGTGTACATCCCCTCTTTGCCTAAACAGTATGATACTCACCGTCTGGCTAAGATCATGCGTAATGAACAGGTAAATGAACACGTGAGCACACAGGTCATTCACTTGAAAAGGTAGGACCTGACTCTATAAGAGGTTTGCCTTGAAGGGACAGGTGGACTTACACCTAAGGCCATTGAAGAGAAGCAAAAAAGAAACTCAATTTATTTAAATATGCACAGGGATTTGGGATAGTGCACAGGTAACCCTTTTCTTTGGTTTTTATTGTAATTATTGGGACTAATGTGTACTATGGCCATTGCTGTCTTTTAGGAGTAGTGTGGGTCCGAGCACAATACTTATTTTTGTGTATTTGGACTAGACTTTTGTGCTGCTTGGACCATTTGGCACAATGTACAAAATATAGCGTATTCCATTTACAAATTACTAGTATCAAAATAAAGATAAATTAGGGATTGTTTTACAAAATATTCCACGTTTGGCAGGTCCTAACAATGGTTATTCTAGCAAAACTAATCCTGAGATATCCATACTGTTAAGGTTTTCAAAAAAGACTCTTAACGGGAAGTGGTAGCTAATAGAGACAAATTGTGACACCTTGTGGTCAGATCTTTTATCATTTTAGAAGTTTGTAAAAAATTAAATTGTGTGCTTAAAATTTTTCAGAAGTCTATATAACCTGACGTTGTTACATAATCTAATTCAGAGCTATCTACTTAGATGTTTAAAAAAAGTGACACGAATTTTAGATTTCTACAGGGAAATCTTCACAATAATATAAGTTTACTTGTAGATTCATTTCTAAACCGGCATTCAATCATCCCATGACTGATTCATTCAATGCATCTCAAAATAATTTGGATACAACTTCGAGTAAGACAAAAGGATACTACCAAGGATAACCTTATTTCTTTTACTAATAATCATAAATGTCATTAAAGTATTTGCACTTACTACTATTGATTTAAATTTGTTTGGTACTCTTCATTGTTTCACAATGTAGACATGCATTTAACTTAAATCATACTTACTTGTTATAACCATTAATCTGAATAAACTTAGTTATTAATATAATGCTGGTCAAAGGGCCTCTAATTTTAGAGCAGAGCTGGGACACACGTGCTCTGGCCTGCCTGAGATTGTGGGCAACAGATGCTATTTGTTAATTCTGTACTGATGGCTTGCATGTGTCATGTAGTGTTTTTGATTTTTTTTGAAACTCTCCACTATCAAGTTTTTGGAATGTAGCACTTTTCTGATATATCTGATCATTTGCAAGGGAGGCGTAACAAATGAGTAAACCCCTCTTTGTTACTGAAAATAAACTAATAATATATGTTTTTCTCTCCAGAGTCTATGGATGGAGTTTATAAATATGGAGCGCATTACATATGAAATTCAAGATGCTATAAGTCTGTGGACTCAAATCAAGCTGGAGATGGATACAAGTATGCTTGCTCCAGGGCAGTCAATGCATCTACCAGACCCCTCGACAGGTATCTTTGTTAACTCTTATTGCCTTCGTGTTAATGGGGGTAACTTTGTGAAGTGACTTAAAAGGATCAATGATTTGAGCTTAGTGAATACAAATAAAATGTTATCCAGGCCTTTAGACATGTATAAGTCTTAACATGATTATTTTTTGTTTGGTTGCTCAAAAATTACCATGATATTGTTATGTTTGTTACAGCAAAAGAGAGAATTTTCAGTAATCTGAAGAAGCACAATATCCCTTGCCCTGGCATCACATTGCAACTTATGAAGTCTCCTGTGCCAGTCATTTCACCTTCCTGTTACATTAACGTCCAGGAAGCAATGAAGCTTGTTCACAAAGACCTTACTATATTACAACAATATGCAAAGTGAGTGTCTGTCTCTGTATGGTAATGCCTTTAAAGGGACACTGATGAGGGACACTATAACCATTTCATCTCATTGACTTGGTTGTTGTGCCCAGTTGTGCCACTGTCTCTCCATTACATGTTTAACCATTTTCTAGTAATTTTAACACTGAATTAGGATTCCTAGCTGCTCACAGCCCAGCCCCTACTGGAGTTATGGCTAGAATTTCCACTTGGGTAAAATTTGATTGCTGTTCTATGCAAAATAACAAGAGAATGCATTATAGATCGATGTTTCATGAAAGAACACTCACTGTTAGCTATGTTTCTGTGCCAAGCTATTGTTGTTGTGACAATCTTTGCTCTGTTTCTGTTGCAGATCTGCATCAATGAGGGAATCTCAACAAGTAGCCTTAGATAGCGAGATGCTTGATACAATCCCAAAATTATATGTCAACCGGGAAGAGCAAATTGAAATGAAGATCGAATGTCGAGGAAATCTGAATAAATCCTGTTCTGGACCAGCTGTAGTGACTGTCAAGGTCAGGGTTGTTACTTAATTTAATTCTCAGACAATTATTCTGTTACCCAACACAATTATTAATATGATCTCCGTGAGCATTTAGATTAAGTGTGTTCACCCTTGGCCTTCCACTTGTTGCTGGATCACATTTCCCATTGTCCAGCAACATGTGGAGATCTGACATTTAATGCACTCTTGGTATTCCTTAATGTTATTGCTATTTGCTAAGTTGGACAGAGAGTACTATAGTGTTAGAAATAGAAAGATGTATTCCTAACATTATAGGAACCATAGCTCCCCCCCCCTCCTTTTCCCCAGCTATATAATGGTTAAATGGCATTTTAAACACTTACATGATTTTAACACCGATGTTCCTTTGCGCTGGGTCAAGCTCCTTCCAATGTCAGCCAATCAGGGGAACCTAATGTGCATGCACTATGAGCTTGCGCAGGCATTAGGCCTCTCCAATAGGAAAGCATTGACTTTCTATGAGGACTGAAACTGCTGGAGGTACTCATGCAAAGCGTGAAGTTTTTCAGCGTTGTTTCACGGAGTCAAACAATGTAAAACAGCGGGAAGCGCCTCTAGTGGGTGCTGGTAGACTGCCACTAGAGGCAGTCTTAACTTGCAGTGTAAGCATTGCAGTTTCTATTAAACTGAAATGTTTTACATTGCAAGATTAAGGGAATGGGGACAGTGCATCAAGACCACTTGAATGAGATGAAGTGAACTGGATGCTTATTGTGTCCCTTTAAATCTGAAATGTGAGAAATATCTGCATGGTCGAACTAATAAACATTATTTATGATTTGTATCTACTGTTACTTTGGTGACAAGCGACCCATAAACCCCTGCAGTAGGAAGGGTACAGGGCTCTCCTAGAGAAGTGTAAATGAGAAGAGGTGTGAGACCCTTCCTACTTTAATTTTTGTTTTCTCATTATTTAGAAAATGTTTGGGGAATTCCATTAATATTTTTTTCTTCCTTAAAATGCCTAATACATTTGCACGTGTGTGTGTGTGTGATTAGAGCTTGTGGATAATATCTAAATCTCAGGCTTTCTCAATTCCACTATTAGTAGCTGATGTGTGAGTAAGTAGATAATTGTCTAATAACTGAAATGGTCTGTACCATAGTTTGAAGGCATGCAGATGGACGAAGCAATCAGCCAACAACTTCACGTCCTGCGACGAGAAATGAAGCAGTTACAGACTGACGCTACCAAACCTACGACACTAAGCATTATCGAAACAGCTGTACATCTTGAGAACTTTATAACGTGAGTTCAGGGTGAATGATGACTTCCTTCCTTTTTGGTATGGTGGTGCTGCATGAAAGTTAATCTTTGAGTGACACATTTTTTGTAAAAAAATTTTTTGCTTTGAGGAACAATTTAATAATTTGGGTAAATAGAGAGGTGCCATAATGTCTATCCACATTAAGAGAAATGGAAAAATTTAATTTTATATATTTCTCAACACACGTAAATTTGTAATATTGACAACCTGTTAGAAGAAATGGAGACTATTATCTGCCATTGTCAGTGGAAATTATGTGTGAAGTCTTTCAGTCTCAGGCCTTACACAGGTTGGTGTAGAACTGAAATTTTAAGAAGTGTTTCTTCCTGTTTATGTGCCTTTTAATTTTTTAACAAGCAGTCAACATGCTGAGAACCATTTGAACTTCACTACCAGTATGGAACAGCATTTACTATGTGGCACTGCAAAGATTCTGTAAAGAAGCTTAAACTTTAATACATTGTATGTCATATGTTATGCAGTGTTCATTGCAGTACAGTTCGAAAACAAGCAGCAAACAAAAAAAATGTATTCAGTTATTGATGTTGACTATACACTATGACTTTGTTCTACCCTCTAATGGCCATTGACATGCAAGCAGTCATTGAACATCTTTTATGTGTAATCTGTATATCTACTAAGAAAATGTTTATTCATTATATGGTGTCAAAATACCCAGAGTTGTTTGACTTACCCCAGATAAAAATTATTTCCATACATACTTTAATGTAGTTTCTATCTTTGTGTATTTTGTTATGCATTTACAAAGCTGGTATGTTGTGGGTTTCTTGTGCACACAGGGCTCTTGTGAATGCTTTCAAAGTGCAGTCTCCCCTTGAGATACAAAAAATTGGGATTGGCACATTCTTTGCAGTGGTGGAGTTTGTCTGTGATGAAACCCAACGGCACCCTCCATCCCGTCAATTCTTTACCTCTTGCATTGAAATCTTGGGTCAGGTACGGCGTTTTTTTAAATTTAATGTGCATATAAGGCAAATATAACTGGTTACACCAAAGGTTATTTTGAACGTTAATTTTTACAGCAGTATAAACACACTCCAGGCTTCTAAACATCAAATATTTATCTTATTTTTGACTTCATGACAGATATGTGATTTTAAAAATAAAAGCTAATAAAAACACCAACTGTGCTTCTTGTCACAGGTAGTGGTGGGAAGTCTAGCAGGAAAAGTTAGTCATGTATGACTGCAGAATATGGCAGTGCTGAAAACTGAACTACTCATTACATTCGTGATGCTGGTCAATCATCATGTTCTTATAGACAGAGTCTTGTTCATTCACATTGCATTTGTTTTGTCTACTATATTAAACCATTTGTTGATCTCCATTTTGTAATGTGCAGGGTTTATATTTTTATAGAACTATCTTTTAACACTACACGTTGGATGACCTACAACTAAAGTGGCCTAGATTTATTTGCTAACCGTTTTCCATTTGTATTTAAGGTGTTTATCAGTGGAACTCAGTCTGAATGTAGGCCCATCCTTCAAACGATTTTGCAGAATAGGAGGTTGTGCACTCTGCTGTCTCCTTACTTTACACCAGCCGCCTCCCCTGGGGAGTTTGTACAGTTATATGAAAAAGTGGTGGAAGCCATCAATGAAGATAACAGTGATGTCATCTTTATGCTGCTAACCAAGGTATGTTTACTTTTGCTTATAGCAGTGATTCAGAACTCAAAATTGTATCTAAATGCTATTTTAGTTGGTTCTCATTGGATCTTTAAACCAAATCACAGTCGTCAGACTGTAGACTTCAGCTGCTCACAGTAAATTGTTTACTATATAACTTTCTTCCATCTTCTATGATACTGGAAGGAATCTGTTGAGTGTGCTGGCACATTTTGTTTAGCATAGTTTATATTCGCATTTAAAAAAAAATAAAAAAAAATGGTAATTGGGCTAATTTCACAATTGAAGAATATGTGACAAAGGTATTGTAATGTACAGTTTACGTCCCTATCAGAAAGAGCTATAATCTTTTCACATTTAATTTTCTGCCTCCTCACCTTTTAGAGTAATGTACATTTTCAAGGCAGTACTAGTGAGTTATGTCTTGGTCCAATTTGGTAGGCAAAACAAAAAAGATGAACGTATCAAACCATCTCTCGCTGGAGGCATAGAACTTGCTAATTTGCACAGCGGCTTGTTCTTTCTGTACAGTTTCCAGTGGCGTGCTAAAGGGTTTATGGCACTTTCTATTTGATAATTTCTGAAAGAATAGATTTGAATCCATAAACATGTAGTTTCATGCAGAGCTGGTGCTACAATAAAGCAAGTTATGCTTTTGCATGGAGCTTCTGTTTGTGGAGTGCTCTTCAGTTCCATAGGCACTGTTCCCCTTTTCACAGGCGAGAAAGCTTATTGTGTCCATCTTAGGCAGATGTAGATCACTGTTGGCACTTCTGTATGACTCATGGTTCTACCATTGCAAACCACAAGCTTCCACCAACAGTCCACCACGGATCGCCAAGCCTTTTTAATGAGCATTATTACGACTGTTATACTTGCGTATTGTAGTCTCAGAAGCCTAACATATCTATTTTTTTTTTGTTGTTGTTTAAGTTTGACCTTAATCACTGGTTAAACTCTGCCAAGCCTTCTATGTCAGAGCGGACTAAACTGCTTGAATGTGTCCATTTGGCTCTGACTCTCTGTGGCCTTGTACCAGAAGAGGACCTACTGATGCCTTTCAATATCTTCTGTAAGCACTGGAACTCTATCCTCCGCTACCAGTTCCCAGATCATTACAGTGACTGCCTGCGGCTGCTTATGCAAAGTAAGATCTGATTGACAGTCCAACAAGCATATTATAGATCTTAATAGCTCTCATGGGTTTGCTTGCATTTTGAGAACCTCTTTTTATGTCAGAAAGATATGAGTCTCTGGTACAGCATTAAGATGGATATATACAGTTTGTGGACTCTTGTATGGCAAGTACAATTCACTTGGGGTTAAGGGCCATTTTAATGCAAGAGATTTAGAATAGAAATGCATGTAGGGTAATCGTATGGTGGGAATTTGTAATTTAATATATCTCATTTAGGACTGTATTATTATTATTATTATTATTATTACAACTACGATTTAGGTTTTATTGCATTTAATATTTTATATTGAATAACTTTTCATAGAGACTTCAACAAATGACAGTGTGGATATATAATGGGGTATATCAAGTTAAAATTAAGTAGATACCACAGGGTAAAAAAAAATGCTTTATTGCTCTGGATATTCTAGGTCAATGATTTGAATGATTTCTAACCATTGGTGCTGCAAATATTTCATTCTACAGCTGATTTAGTCATATTTTTTTTCTCATGTAATATATAATGTATTCAATTCTATTTGGTTCACCATTATACACCCTCTTTCTCTTGGTGTTGTATGTATTATGATGTGCATAATTCTATGTAACAAATATGGTGTTGGGGCTATATTTTTCAATAGGTTAAACCGTATCATTCTACTAAGTGATATCTGCATCTAATCCATTTCCTTTTTAATTTTATAAATACATTATTTATGGTTATATTTCAGGTTCTTCAGAGCAGCTGTTGAGTCCTGAATGTTGGAAAACCTCTCTGAAGGCTGTAGGGTGCTACACACCACGAAAACCCCAAACCACCTTAAAACAAGAGTCCGCTGATCCTCTTGCCTACCCAAGCTCTGCAAGTAAAATGATGTTATCAGCAGAGCAGGTGACACTGTCGGCCATCTTCATTACTGTGGTCTTTTTAGTATGCTATGTGGCATCACCTCTCTAGATTTCCAAGTGTCAGTGGTTACACAACATAATGTAAACTGATTTGAGGGCTTGCACATCATAAGTTTGTCTATGGTTAACCGCTCTACAGATTTTTAACTACCCAATTGATTTCCAACTTGAGAGCAGAAATAAATAATGTGTGAGAAGGATAAAGGATTGTTGTGCAAGAGGTGTCAGGCTGCCAGAGATGACTTAGGCCTCGATTTGATATTGTTGCATATGCTTTTCAAATGTTTTCATATTTTTGGATAGACCTTTCAAATTACTTTTTCAACATAATAAAATGTCTAAACATGTATTGTATATACAAAAATATGTAAAATATCTAATTATTATTATTAAAAAAAATATATTTTTCATCATATTAAATACTTGTAAATGTTTATACAAAAACATGAACTAATTTGGAAAGCTTACCCAACAATATTAATTCGAGGCCTAAATTTAACCTTTAAGAGACTGGTACTAGAGTCAGCAGAGGCAGTTTTTGCCTCAGAAAAACAAGCAGTCTGCTGACAGCCTGATCAAATCACAGTGCTTCTCCATAGGATTGGCTGAGACTGACAAAGAGGCAGATCAGGGGAAGAGCCAGCATGATTCAAACACAGCCCTGGCCAATCAGCATCTCCTTATAGAGATTAATTGAATCAATGCATCTCTATGTGGAAAGTTCAGTGTCTGCATGCAGAGGGAGGTGATACTGAATGTTTGGATGCATTTTAGGCAGCCATGACCCAGGAAGGATCTCTAACAGCCACCTAAGGAGTGGCCAGTGAAGTTATCACTAGGCTGTAATGTAAAGACTGCATTTTCTCTGAAAAGACAGTGTTTACAGCAAAAAGCCTGAAGGGAATGATTCTACCACCAGAACAAATTCAATAAGCTGTAGTTGTTCTGGTGACTATAGTGTCTTTTAAAGTCTGTAAAATATATCCTGACTATCATACAATTACTTTGAAGAGAAATGCACCACATTTAATAGCAGTGACAAAGAATGACTGTTATGCTAAGAGCTAGGCTGGGGGTGTTTAGTTACACAGGTACAAATCTTTTCCCATGAATTATAAGTGATATTTATTGGCTTTTAATTATGTATGTTTTAGATGTTTCACATTTTTTTTCTTCTTCAATAATTTGTCTTTTTTAATTTCCAGGTGTTGGAGACCATTAATTGGCTGTCAGATTTTTTCTACAAGTTACGCTTGTCCAAGTCTGACTTTGAGAGCTTTGGTTTATTTTCAAAATGGAGCACTTATATCCCTGAAGTAAAGATATTTTTAGAATACCTGGTAAAAAGTCTCATTGATTATGAATTTGAAGCAATGGGAAGTCACAGAATCCAGGCAGGTAATAACCATGTCCAATCTGTTAACTTCTTTCCTTGTCTGACATTTGTGTGGGATAGAAATATATCTATGAAACTGGCAACTGCAAACCACCTTGTTACCATTGTCTGTCTGCATTTTTGAAGGAACTCTTCAATTAAAAATATGTAAAAGGAATAAAAATAAATTATTGTATATATTCTTAATTTCTATTATTTTTTAGAAGCATGGATTTTGTTTTCCTGTTTGTAATGTCCTTTGGATTACATAGCATTGTTTCAACAGTTAAAAGTTAAAACAAGACACACATACTCTATTAAACTCACATTAATTCCAACACTGGGAATGTCTCCTCTCTACAGCTTTGTTCCTTTTCCTTGCTCTTAGCAAAGTGTTGGGACACACTGCGCATGCATTACAATCAACACAATCCACCAGAGATGCTTCTTATTTAGAAGCATTTAAACCAGTACTTCTCTATGAGAAACACTCAAGCAAGAAACTCTCCTGGATGTCTGATTGACAGTTGAGAGGTGTTACTAAGGGTGTTTTTTAAAAGTGCAAATTCATCTGATTACTTGGGACCATCAAGTGATGGGAGGTCTAGTCTTGCATGTAAGGGAAGACGAGAAAGGTAAGTTTGGGGAGCATCAATCTAAGTAACTATTATAAATGGTCTTGTGAGGGAAAGAATACCTACCCCTAGATGAATCATGGCAATCATGAAAATATGGTGATCTTAAGGAGCACTGTGTCCGGTCTGTGATATTCTTACAGGGCATAGAATCTAAGAATTCTGATCTAACAATATCTTATTTTCTTCTGTTTTGGTTTCCCAGTGCTAAAATCTCTTCATTCTATTATTACTGAACTTTTCAAGCCTTGGCTGCTGGTTCTAGATAAAGATGAGAACAGGTATGTTTAGTTTCTGCTTATTTATTTATGTATTGCTATTCCTGATAGCATGTCCTAGAATATTACAAATAACTGTTGGGTAATACTTTAACTGGTGGTGTTTTAATGCAGTGACATATTTAATCCAGAAGAAGGTGGTTTTCATTACATTAAACCATTGCTATATGTAAATGTGATGGAAGTCCATCATAATGACATTGGAAATCTTCTTGCAGGGCGGTAAAGCTGCTTTTATAGAATTTTGTTATTTTGGTTTGTTGTTGTTATTGTAATATTGAATGCAGTACAAGTTCTTTATCCGCTTGATATAAATAAGATTGCAAAAATCGGTGACATTAGGTGTGGAGTCATTTTTATAAAGAAAGAGATGTTGGAGTGTAATGAAAGCAATATTTAACTCTGTTCTAAAACAATCGACTGTATTGTGTTACCTGTTTAAAGTGAATTCACTCCAGTGGAGGTATTTTGAGTTTGTACTGTGCCTTACAGGTGAGACTTTTGATATGGAGTAAGTGTGTGCTAAATGGGTTTAGCTCAGAAAAAAAACAAACAAAAAAACATTGAAAAAGGCAATCTCTATTATGATGCAAAATCCTCTCTCTATTTATTTATTGATTTATTTTAACTAGAAATATAAAATGAGGTCACTAAAACAGGAGGGAGTGAAACTTGCCAGAATTGCATCTCTCTCTCTCTCCTTTGTCTTTGATCACCAAATTGGACCATGCCCACCTATTCCCTAACTCAATGATCAGTTTATTGTGGGCACTAGTACATAACAAATCTGACATTGCTAGCCATGTCCTCACAGGTTTTGCTCAGCCAGCCTAAAGAGCATTATGGGAAATATAATTCACATGTGTGTGCTTCAACGCCGCCACTCCATTAATACTTTTTATGCTGATGAAAGTTTCATAAAATATGCATCATGCTTTAATTATGGAACTTGTAGCGGAGATGCAATATTCCCCAGGTATCTCCGCTTATAATCCAAGTGAGGTTTAGGAACAAGTAAATTGTAAATCCACAGGCACGGTCTCCAGCAGGCAAAATAATACAGCAATATACCACAGCAATCCCAATAACTGGACGACACACAGTTTCAGGAGCAGAACTGCAAGCTTTAATCCACACTGTCCTTTTAAAGCATGCTCCCATGCAAGGGAGGGATTACATTCATTAATACAGTAGCCAATCCTGTCCTGGTAACCTCCCACACATCTCCTCCCCTCAGCCAGCATCATAATCCCCTTATCCAGTACAGTAATTCCCCCCATTTCTGGATGTACCCCTAAACGTAGGGGTACCCCTTTAAATCCTACACCCCCCGATAGCCCTGATCTGGGTGAACAACATATCCAAAAATCACCCAGATCAGACCAGGGGTTCGGGAAATTTATGGAGGGAATAAAATGACCGACCGCACTGAGTGAAACAGCCGAATGCGGTTCCAGGTGAATGGGCCCTGCGGTCGGTCCTGGAGTAAGGGAACAAACTGCACGAAAGCCTCTAGCTATAGAGGCTAGGGAGGGTTCGCCTGAATCCCCTCGTTCGGTTCTTCTGAATCCCCGCTGTTCAGGAGTTTTAAAATGGCCGCCACGTGTTCGTTTGTCGAATGGCGGCCACCCCTGAGAACAAAGGACGGCTACTTAAGTTGTCAATTACCCGTTCGCAACAATGTTGCAATGGGTAATTGAGGACACACTTCACACAGGGGAGGTCTGACTGTTCGGTAGTTTCATTCGAACAAACTAAGGGAATGAAACTACCTTACATTCAGACGAATCCAATACATTTTACACATATAACTTAGCTATTTTACACGAATACATTCCCTTACTGCAAAGACATTTAGCAAATAGACGAATACAGTTTAAACATAATGTAAGTCCCAGGGCAGCTCGGGGCCATCCGCTACAGAACTTTTCTCCAATCCTTCACCAACTACCTGACTGAAGTGTGTTTATTTTATTTATTGTTTAATCTTTTTAAAAAGAGATTGGGTTTTATAGAATCATCATCTATAACTTCTTACAGTGCCTCTGAGCTGTATGGTCATAAAATTCAAAGATACACAACATGTCACGACATTTAAACCACTAATAGGTAAAGTGAATAACATTGATTATATTGTTACAATGGCACCTTTCAATGGGTGGGATATATTAGGCAGCAAGTGAACAGTCAGTTCTTGAATTTCATATGTTGGAAAAATGGACAAGTTTCAAGGGCCAAATAGTGATGACTGGGTCAGAACATCTCCAGAATGCAAAGTCTTGTGGGTTATTCCCAGTGTGCAGTGGTTAGTACCTACCAAAAAGTGGTGCAGGGAAAAGACTACTGGTGTACCAGCTTCCCCGTCATGGGTGCCTCAGACTCATTGATGCCCATGGGCAATGAAGGCTAGCCCATCTGGTAACATCACATTAAGAGCTATTGAAGCTCAAATAATAACTTAAACGTTTAAAGCAGTTTCATATTTATCAGTGTCCCTTAAAATGCATTTTGTGGTTTATCTCACTTGCCCCCTATTTAGCAATCAACGCTGCTATCCATGGCTAGAAAATGACACACCTCTTGCCACTGGAATGGTTCGATTATTTGCTGACTGCATTCTTACACTACATCAGAAATGTCAGGGTGAGTAAGAGGAATTTGTGCTTAGAGAATTAAGTTGTTGTTGTATTGTTTTTGGAAAGTATGTTTAATAATTAGCATCTTCTGATGTTCTTAACCCCTTAGCATCCATGCCATCGTTAAAATATATTGGTATTTAAAGCCTCTCAGGATGGCATACTGCTGTTTTTGTGTGAGAAAGGTTACATCCCTGTTGGCAGTGGGGAGATCCAGGTATCAGTCCGTAGCTGGGGTCATACTTACTGACCCCAGACTGATCAGTGAGTTGAGTGCAATGCTCAAAGTGAGTGCAGTACTTTAAATCATAATGACTGAATGACTGTGCCCAGCCACAGTGTTTCTCTGAGAGAGGGTGACCTTAGGGAGATAATAGACCGGATTATGTCTCCTTACATGCCGTCTTGCAGATAGTGGTTTCTGCGGGTCTGTACATGCTGCCCAGTGATGACCACTGTGTGATGGGCAAGGATAGCATGAAACAACATCATCTTAGAGAAGTCTCCTTTTCATGCTGCACTGTACAGAACTCGTATAGAGCACTGTGTGCTGTGTAAGTAGAAAAAACTAAGCAACTCACTGGATCCCTCGGTATTCAGGTTAGAGTTAGAATTATGGTTGGGATAGGGTTGACATACTATTTTAAGGCTGATTTAGGGTTGGGTTTATGGGGTTAGGTCTAGCTGAGATTATAAACTGGATCAAAGTGTAAAGTTCATTATTGTAGTGGTTGTATTTCTGGCAAGTAACAAATAGGCATGTCAAAATTAGGGCATATCTATTATTTTACCTTACAAGTTTCAAAAACACCTGGCAAGGGTGTATATGTTTAGGATATTACTGTACTTGAGGTAAAGCAATATCCTACTCATATATACCTTTAATAATCCAAATATAGCATCTCTGGATTATTAGGAGAAACGTGGTCTGTGAAATTCCCCATGAAAATTAAATTTACATGTAAAACAAAAAAATAAATATAACTAGGATTTTGCAGAGGTTGGTAATACAATGGTCAAAATGCACTATATGTTAAATATCTTAGGGAGTCTGTTTTCTACAAATATACACATTTGTGGTTTTGTATTCTGTGACTGCGGATAAAGTTGTAGTCTCACCATACCAAATGTTATCAAAGATTTGGTGTTAAACTCATAATTCACACCTTACTTTATTTGTCCTATATCTGCCCAAAAATTATTGAAATAAGTTGTTTACGATCAGGACTGATAAGTGAATCTATTTTAAGTTAAAAGACCGAACACAACAATATCAATATCAGACATTCATTATTAGGAACATGTTAAATGGAAAAAAAAAAAACCTTCATACAAGTATATCTATATGCCACCTGAAGCCTTACGCTAGTTATCCTTTTTGGCATAGATCACTTACTGCCGGGCGAGCGTGGTGCTCTGTGGTTGCATCTCATGCACTACTGTGAGTCCTGCACAGCGCCTAAACTCCCTGAGTTTATTCTGTACGCATACCACACAGAGTACATCAAACTCCCCTGGAAAGATATGCATCCTGACCAAACGCTGATGGAGGAGTTCTTCAAGGTAAACTCTCATTTAGACATTTGTCAAACCACTTTAATTTGGAAACCTTTCTTTTTCTTCATTCACCTCTTTTCCCACCAGTTCTGCAGAGGTTAATTAAGCCACACAACATGCATGAACCCATGTAATTACAAATGTGTTTATTTTGCAATGCCTTCTCCATTCATCTCCGTGGGTGAAATTTGATTATGCGCTGCCCAGCGCAAAGAATGCCACATGTTCATTACATACTTTTTAACCTCCTTTCTTAAGGAATAATTGGAACATTTCATAAGTGTAGACTTAAGATAATGTGCAGTAAATCTTAAGATTTTCCCAACTGAGATTAGTGAGTCTGTGTATAAACCAGTAACAAAAGGAGAAGAAATACATTCTTATTTCTCCTGTTTAATTATTTTAATATTTTTGCAATCCAAATTATTTTTGGAACATTTTCCAAGTTGCTTGTCCTTACCTTAATAGCAACACAACCGTTCTGTATGCAGTAATACACTGACTTTATACCTTTTGCTTTGTGTCCCCCAGGTAGAAAGGGGGAGCCCCAAAAGCTGTTTTCTGTTCCTGGGAGCTGTTCTGTGTGAAGTAAACTGGGTGAGCGTACTCTCAGATGCCTGGGGTCCAATGCCTCATCCAGAAACACACCGTATGTTGGTCTGTCTCTTGTTTATGATGGTCTTTCTCACTAAGGAGGAAAAGCTTATTAATGAAGCGGTGAGTGGGATTTAAAACTTATTTAAAGTAATTTGTTAGGATGAATTGAACATCACTTTTGCATCATCATGGAAACTTTTTGCCCATCCTTATTTATCCTCTTTAGCCAATGTGACTATTACCTTAATAGAAACGTGAATTTACTAGTTAGTGTCTTCGGTAGACAATGATGGGCAAAAAGTCCAGAGAATGTATGATTAAAGCCAGCATACAGTATGATCGGACAGTGGAATGTATTAAATATAATAATTGCCTTTGGTGTTTTTTCTTATTGCGAGTTAAAAAGAAATCCGTTATCCCTTATTGTTGGTCACATTATATCATTTTACTACCTGTATCCCTTTGGCCTCCTCAGAGAATCATTTTGGGTTTTTTTGCCAGCGTTTCGCTAGATAGAATATGAGAAAGCTTTACTTTACAGCATAATTATGCATATTAACAGCATGTTATGATATGGTGTGGATTACATGGCAAATAAGTAGTTTGCTAAATAATTCGGAAATGTGTGGTACAATCTTTCCTTCACGGCCAAACTCTAAGACTGTTAAAATGTATCTTAATGTTACACATACTTTACTTACACTTTATTAAAGTTATGTAGGTGCATGTCATAACCCTTTACATTCCAGTGTAACACTTTACAGTCCAGTGTAACTGGTCCATTGTTACCCTTTCCTTGGTGAGCAGACATTCCTACAGAGAACTCTAACCAGTGTTTTGTTTTAGAATTGTAAATTGCGAGTAACAGTAAGGTTCTGACGATTTTATTACGGTCTGTATTTTTATATTTATGTGTTGTTTGAATTTTAGGGGGCTCCGCTAATTAATCTCTTAGGGGAGGCCGGCACCATGTCCTGGCACCTTGTGGATGCAGTGTCATACCAGAACGTAATAGGATATTTTAGCAGTCATTATCCTCCCTCCATAATCCTGAGTAATCACCTGGCAGATGAGCTGCTTCTGAAGCTGTTAAAGGTCTCAGCAGGGCTTACCTGCTTTCCAGAAAATAATGTGTATTCCGTGAGTACAGTAACTTTTTATCTGTAATGTGTAATACTTTTACTGTTGATAGTAATGTTTCTTTTTATCTGTTATGAGATTTTGGTTGGAGACCTGATAACATTCAGTCCAAAAATTATGCACGAATACAGAAAAAAATAAAAACATGAATCATAGTTGATCTTTTTATATCATAATCTGTGCACCTTTATTTATTTTCTACGGAGTTTGAGGTGTTCTTGCTTTACTTTATTCCCTTCGGTTATTGTTTTTAGTTTTATTTTCTATTTATCATTATGTAATGTGTGATTCACAATTGCTCAAGAGTTATTCTCGTCTTGCAGATAATTCTTTTTGTGCATGTTACCTTTTGTTGCAGGACGTCACCCCCAAATGCCGAATCTACATTCAGCAAATGGTTCAGTTTCTTGGCTCTTTGGAGCAGAATGCAAAAATAAGCCTTGGAGAGATGGAGCAAGAGATGTCCAAACTTCTGGATGACATTGTCTTATTCAGTCCCCCAGGTAAGTTATTTATTATTAAATATTTAACCAGGAAAGATACATTGAGATTTCTCTTGTTTTCAAGTATGTCCTGGACATACCTGAAAGTTAAAAGTAGTACTTCGTTAACAATTTACCAGGATTTATTAGATCATACATTGGGTGTTTTGACAAGTGTGATTATTTAACATGTTTTCATTGTATTTGATTTATTTATGATTGGCCTTGAAAACATGTTGAATACATACTTTTCACCCAAATGTTTTCATCAGCATGTTGACTAACCCTAATATAACAGAGTAAGTGATACTTGTGTAAAAACATGTGAGCTCATAGCCATTCAAAGCACAGTGTGAATACTAACACTTTTCCCTTCAGATTAGAGGCAGTGCTTTACAACAGGGATTTCTAATCTGGAAGGAAAAAACAGGCAGGCAAGCCCCAAAATTGTCAAATACCTCCCCCAATTACACCTTTTCACACTTTGCGTAAGACGTCCGTTGCAGGTACAGGTGTGTAATGCCGTGCAATTCCTGGCTAAATTTAGACAAAGTTATTGCTACTTATCATAAAAGTGTTCCAAATTCAATACATTTTGCATTCCTATTCTTTAGTTAATGATCATGACAGCATTGCTTAATTCACTTACATGTTGACATAGCAGCCTGCCCTTACATGCTAACATAGCGGCCTGCCCTTACATGCTAACATAGCGGCCCCTTACATGCTAACATAGCGGCCTGCCCTTACATGCTAACATAGCGGCCTGCCCTTACATGCTAACATAGCGGCCTGCCCTTACATGCTAACATAGCGGCCTGCCCTTACATGCTAACATAGCGGCCTGCCCTTACATGCTAACATAGCGGCCTGCCCTTACATGCTAACATAGCGGCCTGCCCTTACATGCTAACATAGCGGCCTGCCCTTACATGCTAACATAGCGGCCTGCCCTTACATGCTAACATAGCGGCCTGCCCTTACATGCTAACATAGCGGCCTGCCCTTACATGCTAACATAGCAGCCTGCCCTTACATGCTAACATAGCGGCCTGCCCTTACATGCTAACATAGCGGCCTGCCCTTACATGCTAACATAGCGGCCTGCCCTTACATGCTAACATAGCGGCCTGCCCTTACATGCTAACATAGCGGCCTGCCCTTACATGCTAACATAGCGGCCTGCCCTTACATGCTAACATAGCGGCCTGCCCTTACATGCTAACATAGCGGCCTGCCCTTACATGCTAACATAGCGGCCTGCCCTTACATGCTAACATAGCGGCCTGCCCTTACATGCTAACATAGCGGCCTGCCCTTACATGCTAACATAGCGGCCTGCCCTTACATGCTAACATAGCGGCCTGCCCTTACATGCTAACATAGCGGCCTGCCCTTACATGCTAACATAGCGGCCTGCCCTTACATATGAAGAAGCATCTTTGCGTCACTTTCAACTGGAAGAGCTCTTGAACACCCTGTAAATTGACCTGATATTTAGTAACAGCTACCATGAAATGTGAAAACTACTCTATTACTTGCATTAACAAAAATTAAATACAACACCACAAATGCTCTCTCTCACATTTTGGTATCATCTCTCTGGCAATTTTTCACCATTATTTTTCGCAATACTATTAGTGTTTACCTGTGGCACAGCCCTTCTCTTTTCTTTTGTTCATCTTGTTCTCTCCAAAGCGTTTTGAGGGATTCCCTTTGCTGGGGCCGCTGCCTACCTCATATTCCTGTGTTAATTAGTGCTTACCTTCTGTTTGGTATTTTGCATATTTTTCACCATTCCTATTGTAATCAGTATATTGTGATTCTTCACTTGTTAAAGCAGATTCTCTTTTGTCATATGAAATCTTGGATTGAAGGATTTTATGTTTTAATTCTAGTGCACTTTTTTATGTAAAAATTGTGACTATTTCTAGCTGGCGAATCACTCAAGGTTTTTTTTTTCCCCCTGCAGATCTTGAGGTCCAGAAACGCCATATGGCTCTGAGTAGCCTCTTTATGGAGCTCCTAATGGTGATGAATAATGCCAGTGTGACCACAGCTGAATCACTGCGGGGAGCCTTGCTGAAGTGGATTGATAGTAAAGTGCAAGGCCTGCTTGTGATGCCTCTTTTAACAGCTGCGTGCCAGAGTCTGGCATCGATCAAACACATGGCAGAGGCTACTGAAGCCTGCATCCTGGCTTACTTCAAAGATGGTAAAACATCCGACTGGTCATAGAAAGAAGGATAAATGGGCCAGAAATGACTTTGAGCTCTATTTCTGTATCACTATCCTTAATACTTATTAAAGTTAGGAGTTACAAAGAGAACATCGGGTTCATTTATTAGAGAAAAAAATACATTTAAAGAACTTGTGTATGTATATAGAAAACACTATAGATTTGTCAAGAGGTTTGTATTTTATAATAGACATAGAATTCTACTAGTGTTCTGATTATTCCGTTTTTGATTCATCTGTCCCTCCATTAACCTTTTTTTTTTTTTCCAGCTCTCTATAAAATACATTGTTTCTTGTCACTATGTTAAAGACCCTTGTAATAAAGTATTATTGAGGCTGTAAACAAATACTTGTAAAAAGATTGGTTACAGTTAATGTAGTCAAGATTACAGCGTAGGGTAACTGAATATACATTATAGCTACACCCATTGATCTATTAATGGTAATGATGAGATTAATCTCGCATTAAGCATCTTACAGCAATTTAAGATAATTGTATTTATGTTGTTTAGTAATGGTGCCTCTTTTCATTATTTATTCTCTTAAAGAATCTCTTCACATTCAGAATCCAGGCTGGGGCCCAATCCTGGCCTCTCTGCAAGTCCCCGAGCTTACTACCGAGGAATTCCTACAGGAATGTCTGTCCCTTGGAAGCTATCTGACCCTTCATGTGTATGTCCTGCAGTGTTTAAACCGGGAACAGACCCTCCCCAACGAGCTGAGAGTTTTGGTGAAAATCTCAAAATGGCTGGAACAAGTGCAACCAAGGTAGAGTTTAAAAGCTTTCCACCATCCTGCTGTGTACTGTCCTATGTGTTCTGTACTTCACTTTCCAGCAGTGTGAGAAACACAGCACCAGTAGCTTAGCTTTCATAAAGTGTCTTTACTTAGCATGTTACAGGTAGCTGTCTGGAAATTATAAGGATGTGAAAACAGGAAATCTCAAGAGTTTTAGTTTTCTGTGCATGACTTTTTTTTCACAATTAGAACATGTGCATGATGGTAAATCATGGGAGGTTACCAATAAAATGGCACTAATGCTTTCTTGTAGGAGCATGATTTCACTAACTGCATATTAGGGTGACAATATTCTGGCCTATCTCCAAGTAATAAGTGGACAAGTCACGTTCTAGATTGAATGAATGTATGATTAAGTAGGAGTTGAGAGTAGTTGAGTTTAGATTTTTAATTTTAAAGTTTTACAACCAAACTAGGGAGGGCAGCCAGTGGACTGCTGTCACCAATTTAAACAGTATGGAAAGAGTTGATAAGCATTTACGTAAATGTTTTGTTTTCCTACAGTCATCTAGCTCCAAACCTCTGGAAGTCTTGCATGAAAAGTAATTTTGGAGCAAATTTAAAAAAATAAATAAAAATGAAACCTTCCATGTTTGTACCACATATCGCAGTTTATCTCACAGCACATCTTTTTTCCCTGTGACATCTTCTCCACTATGTCTGTTTTACGATATCAGCCTGAGACACAATTGTCTTGTTTACTTTTCTCAATAGCTCGGTGAATGAAGAACCCAAGCTGTTCCTTTGGTTTCACAAAGCTTTACAGCTCTCTCTGATCCAAGTGGAACAAAAGGATAGTATCGTCACAGAGAACATCCTTCGAATACTGCTTTCGGTTCAGAGTAGACTGACTCTTCTAGGTGAAGAAAGAATGACGTCTGGAATTCTTGGCGTTATTGGGTTGGGAAGAAAGTCTCCTTTATCAGCAAGGTAAGATTACAAATAGTCAATGTACCATTGGGAAGTCATTACATAGCTTAATACAATAGTGTATGCGTATAGCCCAGTTTAATGAAATGTGGTTTAAGTTTGACAATTGTTAGGCGTAGAAAAAGTATCAAAACATTTTAATTTTTTTTTTTTTTCATTTTTATAATTTTTCTGGAGTAAACATTTCTCTCAGATTGGTTGCAGGGGGGGAAACTTTCTGTACCACTGGCATAATGTGAATTAAAGGGTCACTCCATACTTCTTACTAAAGTGCTTTATGTGTGAAGTGTGTCTTTTTTTTTTTTCTTCATTTAAAAAAAAGTGCATATTGTAAATTGGCATTGTTGCACCAGCTGGCTGTTAAAGGGACACTAAAAGCACCCGTCTGGGTACAGTGTCCTTGTTCCCCTTAGTCCTTCAATGTAAAACACTGCAGTTTTACAGAAACTGCAATGTTTACATCACAGTACTAAGACTCCTTGAAATTATGCTGGATGTCCTTACACTCTCCATGACGATGTCCAGCATCAAAGTAAAGCCCATATGAAAGAAGGCCTCTCCACGCATGAACATTAGGTAACACCTATGATGTTGGAGGAGGCGGATTGTAACTCAGCCCCTAGGGACTGTAATCAGGTAAGTGAATACAGCGTTATTTAACCCTTTACTTCCCTGGGGAGGGAGACTATGGGGGGATGAATAACACATTAGTGTTAGGAATAAATGCTTCAATCAGACAATCAGTCCTGTTACTTCCTGGTTGTTTTGCTCAGTGGTGCTAAGTTTAAAGAGGCAGCCATTGCCCAGAGCACCTTCCTTGCAAATACTTCTAAATTGGCTGCATTGGGAAATCTGTAATTGGACAGCCACAGAAAATCTGGGATAAGTTAGCCTTTACAAAGGCTTCAAACAAGAGATCTGCAACTTTTGCAAGCTGTTTTTAGATAGTCCCAAATACATGAATGTTTTCGTTGGGATTAAAGCTTCTGAACAGTGATTTTTATTTAAATCTGTTTATTTTTGGGGGTCAATACTGTGGAGTGTTCCTTTAAACATTGACCCATTCAGAATTAACTATACCAGAATAGAAGAAAGCTGTAGTGAGGTTGGCGAAGGCCTGTAAAATAAAGTACTCTTAAAGTCACACTAATATACTATTGTTTAATAGATAGATAGATATAAAAGATGATGTGGCTTCTTGTTTTCCTTGTTATAGATTTCGGATCATCGCTCGTAGTCTGGCTGCATTCATTTTGGCACAGATCCCTGCAGAAAATCAAGTCCGCCTTAAGGCAGGGTCTGGATTGCACTTGTCACAAAAGGCTCAACAGGTATAAATATTACATAATGTGAACCCAAATTGATCTCAAGTAGAAACATAGAAACATAGAAACATAGAATGTGACGGCAGATAAGAACCATTCGGCCCATCTAGTCTGCCCAATTTTCTAAATACTTTCATTAGTCCCTAGTCTTATCTTATAGTTAGGATAGCCTTATGCCTATCCCACGCATGCTTAAACTCCTTTACTGTGTTAACCTCTACCACTTCAGCTGGAAGGCTATTCCATGCATCCACTACCCTCTCAGTAAAGTAATACTTCCTGATATTATTTTTTAAACCTTTGTCCCTCTAATTTAAGACTATGTCCTCTTGTTGTGGTAGTTTTTCTTCTTTTTAAATATAGTCTCCTCCTTTACTGTGTTGATTCCCTTTATATATTTAAATGTTTCTATCATATCCCCCCTGTCTCGTCTTTCCTCCAAGCTATACATGTTAAATCCTTTAACCTTTCCTGGTAAGTTTTATCCCGCAATCCATGAACCAGTTTAGTAGCCCTTCTCTGAACCCTCTCTAAGGTATCAATATCCTTCTGAAGATACGGTCTCCAGTACTGTGTACAATACTCCAAGTGAGGTCTCACCAGTGTTCTGTACAATGGCATGAGCACTTCCCTCTTTCTACTGCTAATACCTCTCCCTATACAACCAAGCATTCTGCTAGCATTTCCTGCTGCTCTATTACATTGTCTGCCTACCTTTAAGTCATCAGAAATAATCACCCTAAATCCCTTTCCTCATATGTTGAGGTTAGGACTCTATCAAATATTCTGTACTCTGCCCTTGGGTTTTTACGTCCAAGATGCATTATCTTGCACTTATCCACATTAAATGTCAGTTGCCACAATTCTGACCATTTTTCTAGTTTACCTAAATCATTTGCCATTTGGCTTATCCCTCCTGGAACATCAACCCTGTTACATATCTTAGTATCATCAGCAAAAAGACATACCTTACCATCAAGACCTTCTGCAATATCACTAATAAAAATATTAAAGAGAATGGGTCCAAGTACAGATCCTGAGGTACCCCACTGGTGACAAGTCCAAGCTTTGAATATATTCCATTAACTACAACCCTCTGTTGCCTGTCACTCAGCCACTGCCTTACCCATTCAACAATATTGGAATCCAAACTTAAAGATTGCAGTTTATTGATAAGCCTTCTATGTGCAACAGTGTCAAAAGCCTTACTGAAATCTAGGTAAGCAATGTCTACTGCACCACCCTGATCTATAATTTTAGTTACCCAATCAAAAAAATCAATAAGATTAGTTTGGCATGATCTCCTGAAGTAAACCCATGTTGTCTCTGATCTTGAAATCCATGTGTTTTAGATGTTCAACAATCCTATCCTTTAACATGGTTTCCATTACTTTCCCCACTACTGAAGTAAGGCTTACTGGCCTATAGTTGCCCGACTCCTCCCTATTACCTTTCTTGTAAATGGGCACAACATTCGCTAACTTCCAATCTTCTGGGACTACTCCTGTTAACAATGATTGGTTAAATAAATCTGTTAATGGTTTTGCTAGTACACCACTAAGCTCTTTTAATAGCTTTGGGTGTATTCCATCAGGTCCCATTGACTTATTTGTCTTTACTTTTGACAGTTGAAATAGAACCTCTTCCTCTGTAAACTCACGTGTAATAAATGACTCATTTATCCTTTTTCTCAACTGAGGTCCCTTTCCTTCATTTTCTTCTGTAAATACAGAACAAAAATATTCATTGAGGCAGTCAGCTAGACCTTTATCCTCTTCTACATACCTTCCTTCTTTTGTTTTTAATCTAACTAATCCTTGTTTTACTTTTCTTTTCTCATTTATGTATCTAAAAAATGTTTTGTCCCCCTTTTTTACTGACTGTGCTATTTTCTCTTCTGTGTGTGATTTGGAAGCTCTTATAACTTGCTTAGCCTCTTTCTGCCTAATCTTATAGATCATTTTGTCTTCCTCACTCTGGGTTTTTTTATAATTCCTAAATGCTAACTTTTTGTTTTTAACTATTTTGGCCACATCTGCGGAGTACCACAGTGGTTTCTTGAATTTTTTGCTTTTACTGACAAGCCTAATGCAATTTTCTGTTTCCTTCAATAGTGCAACTTTTAAATAATCCCATTTTTCTTGGACTCCATTTAAATTGCTCCAGTCTGATAATGACTCCTCTACCCATATTCTAATTTTTAGAAAAGTCTGTTTTTCTAAAGTCTAAAACTTTTGTTTTTGTGTGGTGTGACTCAGTCACTGTTCTTATATTAAACCACACTGACTGATGATCACTGGATCCTAAACTTTTACCTACAGTAACATCTGATACCAAATCTCCCATTTGTTAACACTAAATCTAGTATGGCCTCTTTACAAGGTTGAAATGCTCAACAACTTGTTTTGAGACAATCCCAGTAGGGGGTTTAGAATATGTGTGCTCACAAACAAGTAGCTAATTTTGTTTTCCAATTTACATCAGGAAGATTAAGTCTACCCATGATGATAGCACCTTCATTTGTCATTTGGCTATTTCCTCAACTAGTAGATTATCTAACTCTTCAATTTGTCCTGGGGGCCTATAAATCACACCTACACGAGTTACTGTGTGATTACCAAATTCTAATGTAGCACAAGCGGACTCTATGTTAGCCTCACTAACTTTTATTAGGCTAGATTTTATGCTATCCTTCACATACAAGGCCACCCCTCCCCCTTTCTTGCCTTCCTTATCTTTCCTATATAAAGAGTACCCTGGTATTGCTATGTCCCAGTCATTTTTCTCATTGTACCATGTCTCAGTAACAGCGACTAAATCTACACTATCAGTTGCCATTATTGCCACAAGTTCATGGATCTTATTCCCTAAACTGCGAGCATTTGTAGACAGGACTCTAAGCTTATCATTTTTTAACACACTTGCTACAGGCACCTTCTGTCCTTCTTTTGGGGGACAATTGGATTGATGTTTTATCACCCTTTTGCCCCCTCCTCCTAGTTTAAATACATCCTAGCAAAACCTCTGAACTGCTCACTGAGAACATTTGTTCCCTTTTGAGAAAGATGCAAACCATCTTTTTGTACAGCTTATCTCCATTCCAAACAGAGCTACCATGAGAAATAAAGCCAAATCCTTGCTCCCGACACCATTCACCAAGCCACAAATTAAAGTCCCTAATACGCATCCGCCTGTCGTTCTGAGTGTTATGCACAGGCAGAACTTCAGAGAATGACAGTGTGGAAGCAACCTGCCGTATATCATTGGCAAAAACACTAAAACTTCCTTAACCTCTGAAACCTCATTGCAAGCCAAGTCATTTGTCCCTAGATGGACAAGTACATCCAATTCCCCTTCCTGCTTTGCTTGCTTAACAATATTACAGATACGTCTCCTGTCTCTGTGAGCAGTAGCTCCGGGAAGACACCTCACAAGGCTACCATTGTCCATCTCCACACCTCTTATAATGGAATCCCCCAACAACAACTGCTTTCTATTAGGCCTCACCATAGTCTCCAAGCCGGTCTCCACAACACCACTAGCCTCAGTGCCTCTCCCCACAACACCAGTAGCCTCAGTGCCTCTCTCCACAACACCACTAGCCTCAGTGCCTCTCTCCACAACACCACTAGCCTCAGTGCCTCTCTCCACAACACCACTAGCCTCAGTGCCTCTCTCCACAACACCACTAGCCTCAGTGCCTCTCGCCACAACACCACTAGCCTCAGTGCCTCTCGCCACAACACCACTAGCCTCAGTGCCTCTCGCCACAACACCACTAGCCTCAGTGCCTCTCGCCACAACACCACTAGCCTCAGTGCCTCTCGCCACAACACCGCTAGCCTCAGTGCCTCTCGCCACAACACAGCTAGCCTCAGTGCCTCTCGCCACAACACAGCTAGCCTCAGTGCCTCTCGCCACAACACAGCTAGCCTCAGTGCCTCTCGCCACAACACAGCTAGCCTCAGTGCCTCTCGCCACAACACAGCTAGCCTCAGTGCCTCTCGCCACAACACAGCTTGCCTCAGTGCCTCTCGCCACAACACAGCTAGCCTCAGTGCCTCTCGCCACAACACCGCTAGCCTCAGTGCCTCTCGCCACAACACAGCTAGTCTCAGTGCCTCTCGCCACAACACCACTAGCCTCAGTGCCTCTCTCCACAACACCATTACACTCTGAAAGTGCAGAAAATGAATTATGAAGAGCAACAGACTGTGCAAAATGCCTTTTATCCACAACTCTAAGTCTACCAGATCCTACAGTAATCCATCTGCCTTTCCTAGCATGTCTCTGCGGCAGTGGCTTTGCAGCAGTTCCAGCCTGAGATTCTTCACCAGATAATTTACAAATCTCAGACTTCAAAAATACAATCTCCTGCCGCAAGATAGAGAACTGTCTACAGATTAGACAACAACCAAACCTCCAAAAAGTGGAACGTGAAACAAATGCATAGCAACTATTACACTGAACTAAGTCTGCCATTCCAATTATGAGAATAATTTAAATCTTAACAAATCTTAACTTTTTTCTTTATCCTCCTGAATACCTCAGATTACCTCCAGTTTCTCTCCAGAATATCTCCAACTAGACACTTAGAAACAGCACTTGGAAGTAGCACCAAGCTATATTAGAAAAGCTAATGAGACCAAGCCTTATATAACTCCTTAAATCACCGCCCACTAGGAATGTTTAACACCTGGGTAGGCCTCTGCTTATTTGCAAACAATAGCTAATTAACCAGCAATCAACAGCAAGTAACTAGCTTAATCAAATCAAATATTATGTGCTGCTGTTTAAGCTGTTTGTTGAGTATTTAATAAAGATATAGCTATTGTTATCATGTCAATTGTTATCAATTTCAACCTTTTAAGTCTCCCATCAAGCGTAATTTTAATTTTCATACACGCAATATATTTTATTTATTTATTCTAAAGAGAACATTACTTTGATGCTATTCATGCGGACACTTCCCTATTGATTGCTAACACTTATCCTACCTTTACTAGTTGTTTATGTATGCTGTATTGCTGTATAACTTACAAATTGATTCAATAATACAGTGTTTACTTGTATGTACAGAACAAAAAATAAACCTTTTAGCAGGAATTACTTGATTGTAAATACAAATATAGATCTATTCAGAGACTTGTGGAACATTTGAAGTTTTTATCGAAGGCTGTGCCAACTCTGTAGAGCCTTGTGTATTGTATAATTGACCAGTACAAACCAAATGTATATAAAGATATACTGGGAATAGAGCATACTACCTGTGAATCTAAGCATTAGAAATACTAAACCGTATTGAGCCCATGAGTCATGTGAAACAATCCAACAACTGACCAATAAAATTATTTAAAATAAAAAATTGTGGTCACTTTGGAACTAACTATGCTTAAATCTCCAATACGCCCCAACAGAGTATAAGCATTCATTGGCTGATTTTTTTCACATCTCTTATTGCTATTACATAGATCACACATGCACTAGTAGTGTAGTTAGTGTAGGTTCCATAAACTGCGGCAGTTGGTTACACATAAATATAATGATCATACTGTGAACAGTGGTTTAACCCTGTGATAGACCTGGCATCTCAAATGTCTTTTAACCTTTTTTTTGTTGTTGTTTTGTTATGCCCTGGCATATTATGATGGGTTAAAGATGGAATAATTCATTGTGGTAATACCATTTCCCTTCATCTGCTTATGTTCTGAACACACTAGGATGTTTGTGTAGAGTCAGGGAAATTAGCAGGGGAATTCTATTGGTATTCTAGGTCAGGGGTTCCCAATTAATTTTTCACGTGGAACCCTTTGACATAGTGTACCAACATTGTAACGGATCGCCTGGCACCCCGACTGGGTACCTCCGTTAAAGGATGCTCCTAGCGCTTCCTGAGGACTCCAAGCACTGCAGCAGACACCACAACCACCGAACCGGAGAAGCATATGAATCCTCTCAAGCATATGAATGCTGTAGACCGTTGAATAGGAACCATACGAATAGGTTTACTCTCCTAGCAGTCAAACTGGAACAGCATACAGTAAATCCTTCCCCCAATAATGAGACGACACTTCACTTTGAGGGTTAAAACAGGAACTCTCTGTACTGTCACATACAGTCTCTTTTATTCCCAATCCACAAACATAGAACAGCCCACAGGGCGTTACAAAACAACCAATCACATATCAGTTACATCCCACATATTCCCTCCCCTTATCCTGAGAGGAAACTCAATTATACATACAGTTAAAACATACTTTCTACCCAACTTTCATAACTCCAAAACCATACATCACATTCACATAAAATTACATATTCACAATCAATCCATTCAGGGGAACAACATATTCAAAAATGGCACAAATCAGACAAGGGGTTCAAAAGTTAGTAAAAAGTCCTTTGTGACTAAATGAAGCATGGCTTTCTGGCCCAAACCAGTTTCAGAGTCTTCTATCCTGGAGATAAGTAATTCAATTATCTCCCAGGACAGACACAAGACTCCATTAAGCACATGGTTGCAAAAAGACACAAAACACTTTAAAATACATAAAGTAACCTTTTCACATAACACACAGGCATTTCACATATCCCCAGATAGCTGGGATCTGAGCGCACAAAACTACTGAAGAGCGTTCAGATCCTATTCACACAGTTCAATTGCTATGGAGCCGAAGTCTTTAACTACACAAATGGGCTCCATGGCATAGCTATCTGGGTTAACACATTCTCATAAAGTCTGGTCCATAGTCCAAAGGCAAGAGGCGGGCAAGCAGCCCCCTCCAAAGACACGTGGCGAGGCCGGTTTCGCCACAAACATCGTGGGACCCCCCCAAAAATTCTGGGCCACAGTGCAAACCTTTTAATTAGCAGAGTGTCTTTTATAGCAAATTTGTTTTTCTTCTATACATACACTAATTTCTACAGATAGTAAACAGATTGTAGTGCATAGGAGCAGGTGTGCCTTTTTGTGTAAAGTTGGTGTTTGTATGTAATTTTAGCTTTTAAACATGGATGTACATTTGTGAGTAGCATTGGTGTTTGAATTCAGGTTTTTTTGCTTTGTGTGTAATGTTTGTTTGCATGGGGTGTGCTTGCATGTTGTGTTAGTGTTTGATTGCTGGGATGTATGCACACACATGCACTGCTACATACATATTTACACACACACACAAATTCATATACAAACTGACACATACACACGCACACACTGGCACATACATACACACACCTTGACACACAGATACACATATACAAACACTGGCATATATATATACACACACATACACAAACACTCTGATACACAGATACACACACTGGCACATACACACACTCAGATACGCACTGACACAGAGATACACATAGGCACAGACACACACACAGATATATACACACACACACAGATAAATACACTGACACAGATACACACAGACACATGCACTGATACACAGATACACATGCACACATACACACTGACACATATACACACACACTGTCACGTACAAACTAACACATACTGACATACAGATACACGCACTCACTGGCACATACACACTGGCACACACACGCACTGACACACAGATGCATACACACACACACACACACACACAATCGGACATACATGTTAAAATGTTTCTATTTGCAACCCCCCTTCTTTTAGCTTACCTTGGTGTCCAGGAGGGTGGCTTGCTTGGAGGTCTGGTCCTGTCTGCAGAAGCAGCTCACTCCCAGCCTCTCCTGTGTCTCCATGCGTTGTGCTACTGCCTTCAGCCTGGTGATCACTCACTGCATTCCTCCTGCACGTTTGTTTTTCTAATGAGGCTGGGAGGAAGTGCTGTCACTTCCTCCCAGTCCGCCGATGGTGCAGGTGACTGGTCAGGCTCTTAAAGAGCCGCGGCGCCCGACCAGGCCCTTGTTCAGCGGTAATAGCCATCTGGTGGCCCTAAGTGCATGGGCCATCCGATGGTCAGCTCACGGCGGAACCCCAGGGTTCCGTGGAACACTAATTGGGAAACGCTGTTCTAGTTGATCGCTTCACTTTTTACACTTTGATCCAGAATTGCTTGTTCTAATCATAGACTCATATCTACAAGGTGATGTGAATTATTTAGCAAATATTCAAAGAAAAGCCACAAAAAAAGAAGCATGTTCATACTAAAACAAATATAAAGAATTTTTTTAAACACCTTTACATGTCACCTGTGAAAAGGAAAATGTTGTGCAGGGCCATAGTAAAAACCTTTAACCCCTTAAAGGAACACGATAGTCACCTAAATTAGTTTAGCTAAATAAAGCAGTTTTAGTGTATAGATCATTCCCCTGCAATTTCATTGCTCAATCCCCTGTCATTTAGGAGTTAAATCACTTTGTTTCTGTTTATGCAGCCCTAGCCACACCTCCCCTGGCTATGATTGACAGAGCCTGCATGAAATAAAAAACTGGTTTCACTTTCAAACAGATGTAATTTACCTTAAATAATTGTATCTCAATCTCTAAATTGAATTTTAATCACGTACAGGAGGCTCTTGCAGGGTCTAGCAAGCTATTAACATAGCAGGGGATAAGAAAATCTTAATTAAACAGAACTTGCAATATAAAAAGCCTAAATAGGGCTCTCTTTACAGGAAGTGTTTATGGAAGACTGTGCAAGTCACATGCAGGGAGGTGTGACTAGGGTTCATAAACAAAGGGATTTAACTCCTAAATGGCAGAGGATTGAGCTGCAGGGGCATGTTCTATACACCAAAACAGCTTAATTAAGCTAAAGTTGTTCAGGTGACTACAGTGTCCCTTTAAGGACCAAACTTCAGGAATAAAAGGGAATCATGACATGTCACACATGTCATGTGTCCTTAAGGGGTTAAAACTATTAAGGGATTTAGAAATGTTGTATTGACCATTTTGATCAACAATCTACTGCAACGGCGTGATTGGACGTTTAAGGGGGAAATAATGGATTGGAAATTAAATTTAATTTACCGACCGAGTAGAGTTAACTGACATGTAATAGTATAATGTGCATATAATAGTATAATGTACTGATCTTAATTTTAGTGGGAAAAACTCAATAATTGGGTACATTTTCCATGTTGTTTTTTTTTTTTTTCAAAAAACATAATCGAACGCTGAAAACTGATTACTACATTTTAGAATTATATATTGTAAACCATATATTTGTGCCCAAACAGGCTTTGGCTGTATTAGAGTCCATGACCTCAAGCAAACAGTATGCAGAGTATCAGGAACAGATGTCGCAGGCTGCCCAGTTTATCCGATACCCAGGACACTGCCTTCAAGATGGAAACACGCTGCTAGCTCTTCTCATCAACTCACTGTATCCAGAAGTGCATTATCTTAATATTATACGATAAAACCAACAAAGCCTGGGACTTTTTTTACAGCTTCTTTTTTGTAACTGTTTACTTGGTGCATTTCACATTTTCTTTTTTTTTTTAATATATATATATCTATCCAAAAACAAACAAACCAACCAACTATCTATCTCTATGTGGAAGTGAGGATATGATAACAGAACTACATGAAACTGGTGTTTGTTGAACAGATTACCTGGGAGTGAATCATAAAAGAGAGACAAACAGGAGAACAAGAAAATCATGTGTAATAGTTCTGGTCCAATTTAAACAGAGAAGTATGTTTAAATTTCCTGATCACTGCAGATGGCATTTTTTCTTTTTTTGGTGGGGGAGGGAGGGAGATTCACACAGGGTTTAATTACTGTGCCTAAGTGTTCTCTAAATAGCCACTCATATTTTATGCATATGCATCTTCAGTATTTTTCCTGTTAAATATGACTTGATTTTATGTTTTGTAACAAGGATGGTAGAAAGGCCAAAAAGTAGCCATATTTACATTTTACATCAACTCACTGTGCTTGCGATTCTATAGTGCCAGGAAAACAAAGCTGTTTTCCTGGCACTTATAGGTTTAACAGGTCCCCTCACGCTCCACCTCCCACTTACCTGAGTCCAGCATCAATGTCCTTCGGCGCTGATGTCGGCAGGGGAGACCTAATGCGCATGAGAGGCAATGGCCGCACGTGCATTAGAACTCCCTATAGGAAAGCATTATTCAATGCTTTCCTATAGGGAAAATCTGACGCTGGAGGTCTGTGAGGACGTCCAGCGTCAGATAACGGACCAAAAGTCTGTTTGGATTCCAGAAGCCACAGTTACCTGTTTGAGTGCATTGTGGTGACTGTTCAATTTTGCTGAGCCATGTATTCACTGTGGTGGTATCTACCAGAACAATGTTCATACCAGCACAGAGTATAGACACTTTTTTTTTTTTAGATAAGAGGTGGAAATTGCACCAGCTCTGTTGATGGTAGGGTTATAATTCACTTTTGGCTTTCCTTGCGGCTTTACTACATCTTTTGCGTTGCTGGCTGTTCCTACATATTTATAAAAAGTCAGTTGGCACATAAATCATCTTTTGGTATCTTCTGAACGTATTTTAGTACGTTACCTAGTAATTCCTAGTAATTCCCAAATGAGCAGGGAAGTGTCAGCCTCTCTCCCAGGCTGGTCTCACTCAAAGTGCCCTGGCACCATTGAGCACAGTACTTGTGCATCCAGGGTTGTGTTGTCATGGCTCTTCTTGGGGGCAATCCCTGATGAGGGACACCAGAGAAAAAACCCAGGACAGGAGCCTTAAAATTGGGCTGGTCCCGCTGGATTCAGAACTATAGGGAGGAATTTGATTGTTATCATAGAAATGTCTGGCACCTTTAAAAGCCAGGACTGATAAAGTCTTGGCTCAAAATTGAGATCTGTTTGTTAAAACCATGTTGCTCACAATCAAGGTTCACACTGAATGCTAACAGGGTCACTCACTAAAGTGTATTGAAATCTGAATGGTGTAATTAAAGCTAAAATAGGCAAGCTGGTTCTATGTATGAGTTGAATTTTTCCAGGTGAGCTGTTTTGGCCTGTATTTTGCCATTCAGATTTCAGTTCCCTATAGTTTTGCATTTTAGGGACTCTGAAACCTTTTTCCAAATCTGTAGCTTTGCTCTTCCTCTTTTAAAATGGAAGCCTATAAATTTCAAAGCTTTTTGGTTTCTTTCACACATTTTTCTAAATTTATCAAAGATTGCACCGTGAACCCATTCATGCAATTGTTCCAAAATTAATGAAAGAGAAATGACAAGAATACTTATTAGTAAATAACAAGTTTTGATCAGTACTTGTTAACATTTCTGTTTGAATGTGTAATTGATTCCTGTCACCTTTTCATTATTTACTGGTCCAAATGGTACAGATTACTGTTGCCTTATCAGACGATCAGTAACCTGTGTATATTCAGTTGTATTATTATACCATTTGTATAAATGCCAATGGCTGCCTTTGTTATAAAACAAACACTGGTTTCTTCCAAAGCATTCCACCTTAAATTACGGATTTAACGTTGTGGACTTTCTGCCGTTTAACTAAAATGTCATGTTTTTCTGACATTTACCTAGAAAAGCAAGAGAACAAGTAATCCCTGTTGTGTGATAGATCCTACTTGCTCGTTTATGTTTTTGGATTAGCTAAGGGTATTTTTTTTTTATTTGAAGTTATTTCCTAGGCCTACTGATTCCTGTAATTATGTGTTTAGCTTTTAGAGGAGACTTTGAGTGATGCTTTTGTGCATGTAAGTGGGATATGGAGCTTATCAGTGCATGTAGAGGTGTTCGGCCATGTAGTTACTTTATTTTCTAAGGATGAAAAGAGATAACATAGACGATGTCTTGTCTTTCAGCTGATTCTAGACTTCTATCCCTTCCTTGACAGATCACAGACAAATGTCCCTCTGTAAAAATAACTTTGGAACCTTTAATTATCAAGGAGAATGGACTGTTGGATACAAATCCTATTCCCCACTATATCAAATAAAATAAGTGCCATAGAAATCAGTTTAGTTTCTGTTCCTTCATATATCCTAAAATTTTGGAATTAATTTGCACCATATTGCCCCAGTCTTCCTTTGCTAGATCATCATGTTGCATGGCTTGTGAGGGGAATGGCTAAGTAAGCTTTTTGTGTATATTTAGTAATAACTGGATAGTGTGGTTAGTTTTCCTGCTTATGTGTGTAGACTTATTGGTATCCTTAATCTGCATGCAGAAACTTCATTTTAAACACTGATATATTCCAATGAGTGGCCCAAAATGAAACCATTTCATTGGTTAATATAGTATCTGTCTTTTCCAGCTCCATTTGTTGTGTAACACTTGACCCTTTGTGTGCGGTCTTCTATGGAGATCATTAGTTCCCTAGCATTTGTTATTTCTGTATAATTCCTAGAATATAATTATATCATCTCTAAAAAGTGGACCTTTTCAATATTAACAAATTGTTTTGTGTAACCCATAAAATAGAAAAAACCTGCACAATGCATTACTCTACATTTTACTGATAAACATAAAATAAGGCAGTCTGGCTATGGTAGGTAGTAGGACAGTACTTACCAAGCCAGTAAATTATATTTGACCAAAGAAGGAAGTATTTAAAAATAAATAAATATAGATTTAAAATATAATAATTATATTATATTTGGGCTTGTGATCTTGGGTGACGATATGTCGTTAACTTGTCACTCACTAAAATGCATTAGGTGCTGCTTAAATCGGTTGCATAACTCTGACATGGCTATTCTTGTCTACTACAGAAATGTATTATAATTCAAGCAGCCATGTTGCATGCTTAACCACTAACATTATAAAGTCCTGCAGAACCACAGTTAGTGTCATCATGACAGCCTTAACGTATTTGTGGTCCTGAAAGATTTAAAGTAAAAATTTAAAAATAAGCTTTTAATCCAGTATCAGGCATACCCCACACAGCTTGTTATTTTGATTGGCCGGTGGGACTAGTGGACTCTAAAAGTCAGTACAGATGTGAGGTCACAAGGTTTACATCATATCCGATAGGCTGCAGGATAGGATGCAAACAAGCTACTGATATAGTAAATCTACAAAATGATTCTAAAGTTTGGATTTTCAACGCATCCATTAAAGTTGCTACAGTTCTCCATGCTGTGTACAATAGCACATTTATAATATTGTAAATCCAATTCAAAACAATAACCCAATTATTTTTAAATTCCAAAGCTGTCAGAAATATTCAGTCATGCTTATTTTTCCATATTAATATTTTCAAAAAGCTGTAGTTGTTTTGGTGACTATAGTATCCCTGTAAGGGACACCGAACCTTGGCCTTTTTCCATAATGGCAAACAAATATTTAATTTTATTTTAATTTAATTTAAATTTAAACTGATTGAGATACAATAAAATAAACATGCAAAAAAATAAAGAACTTTTATGACCGGTAAAATAGCAAACTCTTTTTTTTCAGCTAGATGCCAGTTATGTGTTCATCACGCCTCCTTTTTGGATCGATTTGAAGTTTGCATAAAATCGTATAGGTGAAAAACTAGGAAACCTTTTGTAGAATCCTAGACTTTGACGTGCCATATTACACGTGAACAGTAAACTTAAAACGACTATCGCTGTATCGTTTGTGCACATTGTGAGAATTCCAGTGTAAGTCCAAAAAAGGACAAATTAAGCTAGGAAAACCCCAAATGGAAGATTGCAGGGTCTGCAGTGCCTGGAAATTAAAATTCTCGATGAGGAAATAAATTGGAATTAAATGAGGAATGAGGCAGTGTTATGATTAAAAGAAATAATAATTTTACACCATAATTCATCAACAGAGGGATGACATAGACAGATCTATTTTAATCATTTTTTTGGGCTACTGCAGACGAGTTTCCATATTTGATGCTCCTACCCAGCTTTATGCACAAGATACCCAACAGTGATCAAATTGCTAAAACCTATAGTGAGCAGATTATACTTTATAGCAATGCAAGTGGAGAGGCAAACTTGTATTCCAAAATTACTTTAATCTTGGAGTTTTATATCTGACCCTTAAAGTCATCGTTAAAATTGTTGCTCATTATAAAACCAAGTCTCATTGTGCAGTGTATTATGTAGGTAGGTTTTCCAGAAGAGCACATAGTTACTTTAGATGACCGTTGCGCTGAAATTGAGATCCATGTCTTTAAAATTAGCACTTTTTTTGATGTTTGCCTTGGCAACGCAGACCAAAATCGGATTAAAGATAATTTTATTTGAGATTTCTATATGTGTTTTATAACAGTTTAGCATACCAATGAAATTAGGTTAATTTGTCGGAGATGTAGCTGGTAACATATATAACATATATACGTATTAGACAGTTTATAGCAGAAATTCATAGTTTAATACAGAATATATTATATGCCTCCATTACGATAGAAAATTTATAAATTATTGAATAGCTGTTGTGTTGTATTAAGGTGAGACGGGTTCTAACTTACATCTAAGTAATGTGCATTTCAAGTAGGCAGCGTTCCTGAGTGTGTGATCTGTCTAACGGAAAAAGATCACGCAGTACTTTGGGATCTTTTCTAAGGTGATCCATAAAGTATTATTGCTGCTAATGTGTTGCACTATTTAGCCTTTGCTTTGCTTGTATGAGCTATTGTCATTTTTATAAGGAAATTGTGGTGTTCTAGAACTTTTCAAACCTCAATGTTTCCCCTGTTGGTGGATTGCAATTCATAAAAGTCTTTGCCAGCCAATCTTCACAAGCTTGAATTGGCAATATAGTCCGGTGGAACTGTGTTCGTTCCACTGTCTTTAGTTCCATTGTCTTTTACTGTATAGAAAAAATAAATCTATATATCATTTAGGTGGACACTACTTTTACCATTAAATATTTTTTCTTTTCTTTTTTTTCCTTTTTATCATTTGTATCTTTCTGTTCATCATATTTCTCCTCTGCTAAAACGTTATAGAAAAATAAATTAAACAGCAGACATCACCAGAGTTTTCGATGTTTGCAAAGACATTTAATCATAAACTGGAAAATGTGATTGCATTTTAAAATAAAATTCTTAAAAATCATGAGTTTGCAACACGCAAATAATATAGTATTAGACCGTCCAGTTGTACTTTCTCCAAGGCTGTGATATATATAATTCTGTTTTCAGTTTGCACAGAAGACTTTATTTAGTTAGCAGTATCAAAGAAAAGAAAAGAGGAACAATGAGACACTGCTTTTCTTGACGCAGTCTATTTTTAATGTCTGGCATATGGTTTTAGCCCCTAAACAGATACATCAATTACTATTAAAATATCCAGCTTTTTTTCTGCAGCTTTAGATGCTAAAAGGACGATCACTTGCTGTAGCAGTGCTTACTAACATAGTTATTAAATCAGAAATCATCAATCGCACTAGACAATATTCAATGTTCCCACAAGACTACTTTGTAATATAAAATATATTGGTATCTATGATAGAAACTTATTCATAGAGACCCAGATTGTTACAAGCCCACTCTCACCTTTATGTCCTTTCCAAACTATACTTGTTGGGGCGTTACACGTTATCGTGGTGCCCTGTGGACTCCAGTGCAGTTTTACTTACTTATTGTGCAATGCAACTCTGCGATACCGCTAAATAGACTGCTGTGCATTCACATTTAGTTTGTTAGTACATCACATTCATCACATTCTAGCTGCTTTTAACTGCATACAATATTATTTGTTTAGTTTGCTGTGTTGCAGAATTGAATTAACTTACTGAGTCAAGGCCATTGTGTGGGTGGTAGCTTATTTTTTTAGAGCTGGAAGACTGCTTGGGTACAAAGATTGATCTTCTGCCAACCACAAATTTCTATATTCCTACAGCGATCATTTAATAGATACTGACACTCTGGCAAATTAAGCAATTTTATTGGCAATGCTTGCTTAGAGTATTTTATTTCAGAGCTTTAGAGTTTATTGCAACAATAAAGGACATGGTTAGACAAAAATTAGCTCTTCACTTACCTCTCCCTTAATGCACTGCCAGCCAATGGTTTTCTGGCAATGTATCATGAGTGATGTATTTTCATAGCAGCTAGAGAGCTACTTTGTCTTCCCATGATATGGTCATGATTTTTTTTTTTTTTAAATGTCTGTTTTCTATGTTGCCAGTATTCCTCTATGAAGAATACTGTTACTTTCATGTGCACTTTTTATTTGAATTTGATGCAAATATTCCTTATATCAGTAAGATGTATTGTAAATGTAATTTATCAATCATTATATCCAGATTTTATACATAGTGAGTTAATCATCAGATATGTGAACAATGAGTGATGTGAATCTTCATTCTTAAAAACTCATCAATGTTCTTGTGTTGTTTTTAAATGTCTTTATATTTAAATGTATCAAATAAAAAGCCTTTCCAGTGTAATATAAACATATTTTATCATGATGAAATTCTCCAAACACTGTGCAGTACACACCAGACAGGCACATATTTTACTACTGAGCAGTAGCTAGCATTGTAGTCCAGCGCTGATATTTAATATACCGGCACTACTGTCTGGTATGTTCGCATTAACCCTTCATTTTTGTTGGGTTTGATAAATGCTGCCTGTCATCTAAAAACTACTTTACAGCAGAAAAATAGAGCTTTGAAATAGTTTGTTTCTATAATTTTAGAGGTTTACGAAAGTTTAAAATCCACTTATAGTAAAAAAGGAGCCTGAACAATATATTTTCAACTGTGCACCACTCTAGTCGAATTCCCAACAAATGTATAAATCATATGTCACAATATTGAATATTGTACTTTTTGCCTACTTTACAGTCTGCTTAGAGGTATCAACTATGCCTCTCATTGCTATGCATTGTATCCTGTGATTCATGTCTAAGCATTGTGAGATGTGTGCAGTTGTAAGTTGTATACTTGTGCCGCGTACATATTTGAATCTGCCGCCAATTAAACTAGCACAATGTAGAGATGTAATGCAATGATTTCCACAAAGCTGATATAGTCATTGAAATAACTCCTATTTGCATACTGCCCTAGTATTGTTTGGACAGTCCCCTGTTTTGATCCCTGGAAATGTCGTCCTGCAATCTACATGGTAATACAATTTGTAGTGATCAGTACTACTGCATACCACTAAGTGCAAACTGTTCTGCCCGGTAGGTTTCAGACCTAAATAACAATTGAATTACAAACTGTGTCTGGCACTGATTAGTGCAGAGCTAACTTGCTATAGATCAGACATGCCACTTAATATTTTAAAACGCTACTAATATTGTAAAGCTACAGAATATGCTGGCGCTATATAAATACCAGTAACAATAATAATAATAATAATGCCCCTCCCTGCTCTCTTACTCTTGTCCCAGCTCAATACTTGCCTATGTTGGTATTTATACATTTTTGTCTACTTACTTTTGCACACAGTGATTTCATGACATTTATGGCAAACAGACTTACTTAGTTACTAGTTAGAAAACTTTACAAAATACACAAAATGCATAACGTACCAGGAAGTAAGATGTGTGCATGTTTCTAAATATTGTGATGTGGTAAGCACCAGCAGGAAGCGCTACATGGAAGATGAGCCTAAATGCCTTAAACCTCATCATACAAGATTTAATAGCCAGAGTTTTCCCTATACTAGTCTTTCTTAATTCCTGGCTACCAAGACCCAACTTTAGATTCCCATGTTATTTCATTGGGGTCACAATAGCTAGAACAGGCACATCAATATGTTCATCAGACCTCAGAACCGGCTCACAATAAATTGTTTTCTATAAAATCGCTCCTTTTCAATGCAGTGGAGCCAAATATCAATGACACTGTTAAGAGTGTAATTACAGAGTTTTGCAAAAGTTATTTTATTTTACAGTACAGATGAAGAATGGGTCAATGAGCTGATTTGAAAACTAAGAGTGGGTCACCAATGCAGTGCTATATATGTAATATGCTCTGTTTATGATTGTAAACTGGTTCTCAGGCGTTCTTCTGTACAGATAGATGTCACTGTTTTATTCATTATTTTCTGTTTTAGAGAATTAAACACAACCCAGTATTTTTCAGATTTTGGGAAGTGGTTAGTGAACAAATGGCTGTCTGTGTGAATTTGTATACATAAGCGTGTGTTACCAAGTTTGGAATTAGATTAGTGATTTAGTGATTAGTCTTTTTATGTGTTTGTTTAGCTACAACTTTATGGACCTGCTTAGAGGGTTTCTTTAACTATCCAGAGGATAGGTGGCCAATACAGCATCAATGTGACAAGTTGCTTTTCAACATGGCAGCCCTATTATAGAGGTCTTAATCTGCTTCTGACATTCGCCCACCCTCAGCTACTGACATTCGCCCACAGTGTTATAGTGAAAACCATTTAGTGTGAGAGTTAAAGAAACCCTACACCTCTCCTCTGGTTTAGTGAATGAGACACTATAGAATTTATTCACTATTCACTTAACAGTGGTGATAAGTTGACAATGGGTTGAAGAATTTAGACCATATTTGTGAAACAAATACTTAGTTGAGTCGGATTTATTTTCCCGCTCTGGTATTGTGGTCTGATATTTTGTCTTTTTGTCAATGCCTCTCTAACTATTTAGTGAATAGACCTCCTAGGTCCATACATTATGTGTGTGTGCCATCTGGTATGTTCTGTCTACTTCATTACATTTCCTTTGCAGTGCCAAAATGTGTAAAGAAAATTAAAATGTATTCTTGAGAAATACAGGGTATGTGGTAAATGTTAGAATTTAGATCACTTTTACAGAACTTGTCATTAAATGTTCAGTGAAATATGATTTAAAATGTAAATTTTATGAAGAGTAAGTTTTGGTTGCATTTTGCATGGTCAATAAAGCTGTCTACTTATAATATGTGTTTTGACTCTTGAACAACCTGTGCTGTTTTATATGAATTAATGTGGATGGTGACAGATGGACATGACCAGCAAGTATTCATATCCGTTTGATGTGCACAACAAGATTATGGTTATTGGATAACGTTTTCCAAGGAAAGTGAGTAAACATGGTTTGCTACTTCTCATTGAAGGGGTTATAGTGTCTGGAGTGCCATGGCGCTGTCCTTCTAGTCAGAACCATTTTTAATTATTTAATACTAGATGAGAGTTCCTGGCAGACAATCCCCTTATTATTTCTTGGGCTTATGAGGAAGTATTAGCCTGAACAGCAATGGATGGCTGTGGTGAGCTGAAAGCAGTCAGCTGACACTTTCAGCTAATCACAGCCATCATTGCTGGTATGAATTGTTGTAGCTACAAGGAAGTGTGTAATCTCTACATTAAACCTACCTCCGGTAGGTGCTGGGCTTTGGGTGACCAGAACCTTAATTCTCAAAATTTGTTCTAAAAATAAAATATTTTTGGAATAATGTTTTACTTTTCTTTTCTTTTTCTTTTTTTTAAATGGAAAACACATAATCCAGGCATTCTAACCAGGCACACCTAACCAATCTGGCAAATTTCAATGTGAAAAAAACTGAAAAATGTAGCATGCTATATTTGACTCTGTAACTTCCCAAAACACCATAAAACCTGTACATAGGGGGTACTGTTTTACACATGAGACAGCGCTGAATACAAATATGTGTATTTTATTGCATTAACAGCTAACAGTATTCACAGTTAAAATGTCATGTAGAACTAAAAAAATGAAAAAAATCTTTTCTAACAATTTTTTATATTTTATTCATATTAAATTGTTACATAGCTAAATATTTGATGTTAAATGAAAGCCCTATTTCTCCTGAATAAAATTATATATAATAAGTGTGGGTGCACTTAATAGGGAAAAGGTGAATTACGGTTGAACAGACATATAGTCAAATTTCAGGTTTTGTTTACGTTTTGATTTGATCACAACGTGTACATTTGGCTCAGTCCTTAAGGGGTTAAGGGGTTAAAATGAAATGAAGCATATCTTGGCAATAAACGTTAAAGGGACACTATAGTCACCTGAACAACTTCAGCTTAATGAGGTTGTTCAGGTGAGAACTATAGCTCCTTGCAACCTTTCTCATGTAAACACTGTATTTTCCAAGAAAATACAGTGTTTACTTTGAAAGCGAGGAACACCTCCAGTTACAGTCACTCAGAGTGAACCAGAGGGACGTCTGAGTTGATGGAGGCATAATATGCCTCCATCCACTCAGATCTGCTGTGCACTCCTGTGATTCAGTATCTCCTCCCACTGTATGCAGACACTGAACTTTCCTCTTAGTTTGAAGAAAGAGTCTTTAAGCAATATATTTGTGAGTATACTGTCTCCCTCTTGTGGCCATTGTGCTTATTACGCTCCAGATGGACTTCTTAGATGTTTGGAATTCCATAATAACATAAATTATGTATTTGCTTTAATGCATATTGTCTGTTGTTATTATTTTCTTTTCCGCTTTCTGGATTGTTTTTGTTAAAGGGTCAGAATAAATTATGTTTTAGGTCAAAATAACATTTCCTAATGTTTTGACCAAATAACCTAAATTATCTGGAGGGAGACATTGTAGTTGAACAATATTGGTACATTAATTAATTTTTTTCAGTGCAATCAAATGCAATTGTTGCTTTTGATACAATATCATGATATCAGAACCCTTCAGCAATTTATTTTTAAAGTCTGAACAGAAACATTGTAACACAAATTACAAGCCATCACTAATAATCAGTCTGGACTGAAGGTTTTACAATAGTAATTAAAGGTTTGAAACAAAACCGTAAGGATATAGGGAGGAAGGTAAGGGAGGAGTGTTCCCACCATGGAGGTGAACGATCCCTTATCACAAGGAATTACAATTATACATCATATTTTTTCCGAACAGCCCAGATTTTATAGTAGGAAGCTACGGTATTGTAGATGGTGGCCATCGGTTTATCCATAATTGGGCATCTCTGATAACTGATAGTACTTCCCCCTTATCATATTAAACTATTTTTGGGCGTGGAAGGGAAGACACTCTATTGGACGAGATAAAATAAATGACCAGGTTTCTTGTTCTATGGATCCCTGCAATTCCAAGCTAAGTACATGGTTAATGTTTGTCCATTATAGCACCATGTAAGGGCAGGTCCACCACATGTGATTGTATGTATATACCCTTATGACCACAATTTCTTCATCACAGACCAGAAGGGACTTGCCCCATCCTAAACAATTTAGTCTGTGCACATTTAAAGCACATTTGCTCCTCTGAAGCTACAAATACAAAGACTCTAGAAGTTGCCTTCCAAATTTTTCCGCCTACATGTCCCCAACCTGTGCCTAGCTAAGGTCCATCTCTTATTAACAAACATAGTTCAGTTTACACAAATAGAACCAAAAATATTACAAATTAGACCTTTTTCACAAATGCCCTCAAAGGTAGTAAGGTCCTCACAGGAAGTTGCACAAAATCCTTAATTTTATAGAAATGATAATGGTCTCTTGTGGACACTTTGAACATTTTTAAATACATAATTATATTAACACTCAAAACTCCTTTAAAAGTTGTTAATTTCTTGCTAAGCTCCATACTCCCATACAGACACTTTGATTCCAGTCTTCTGATTCAATGGAAATAATTGCTTTATTGAATTCAACCACTTTAAGTTGTTTTTTTTTTTTCTTATTCAGAAAATCCCCATAATTGAAATTACAAATATTAGTCCACTAAGCAGATGACAATGAATCATGCATAGCCTGTATGCACAATTTGCTGAATGATAAGGAGGGTATATAATTCTTCTGATTTAAATTATCCTCTGGCACGGATTTCATGGATCTCTTTGCTCGTAATTTTCATATGTGGATTCCTTGGCACATCTGAGACAAAAGAAAAAAATTTAAAAGATGCATGAGAATGAGTTCATTACTATATATATATATATATGTAGACATTCTGGAACAACATACTAAATGTGCAGTAGGGCAATTTTACTGGTTTCTGCATTATTACTGTATCACCTCCCAACATTCCAAATGAACAAAGAGGGACACTGATTTTAAGGGTATGGCCAGGAGTTGGGCTGTTCAGACACATTTTAGGTGATTTCGTAAAAACAATTTATGAAACTAAAGTGTAATTTAAAACAAGAACAATGTACTTTATTTCCACAGACTGATTTCTAATGTGTCCTTAAATGTAAACATTCCAATTTGTGTTTGAGCATTAAGGTATGCAAATGATCAATGTTTCACTACAAGATGTGTCTAGCTTCAAGTCCACTCACTGGCAATTAATGGACCTCTCAGCAGGGCTCCAAAAAGGAGTACTGTAAATCACCACTAAACAGGTAACTTCCTATGGGAATATGGTCAAAGTTTAAAGTGAATTTCTGCACACACAGACTCCAGGCACCAGGATCCCTTCAAATCAGTGAAGGGGTTATGGTGCTCGAATAAACACCAAATTGGAGTGAATACAAAATGTAGGCTAAATTAACCAAGCCCTGACTGCATCTTCGTTTGAGAATTTACACAAATTTTGACTTTAATTTTACACTTCAGATTTCAATCTAGTGTTTAGTGAAACAAATGATTAGTGTTAAATACAGGCATTTTAGTTTTGGATGTTTTTGTTCCCCCTGGCCTTTAAATGATTGCTTCTTTTTTGGCCCATCTGATGTACAGAGTTCTCCTAATTTTATTTTTAAGATTAAAGATGATTAAAGGATCACTATAGGTTTAGGAACACTAACATGTATTCTTGACCGTATAGGGTTAAAACCACATACTAACCCCCCCTGGCCCCTCCAAATAAAGTAAAATCTTACTTGAATTCAAATCTGCAGATGCATAGTTTGTCACTGTTTCCTTTTGACATGCCTCTGACATCATCAGAAGTGGTAGCCTGATCCAATTACAATGCTTTCCCATAGGACTGGCTGAGACTGACAGAGGCAGATCAGGGGCAGAGCCAGCATGATTCAAACACAGCCCTGGCCAATCAGCATCTCCTCATAGAGATGAATTGGATCAATGAATCTCTATGAGGAAAGTTCAGTGTATGCATGCAGAGGGAGGAGACACTGAATGTTTGGATGCATTTTAGGCAGCCATGACCCAGGAAGGATCTCTAACAGCCATCTAAGGAGTGGCCAGTGAAGTTATCACTAGGCTGTAATGTAAACACTGCATTTTCTCTGAAAAGACAATGTTTACAACAAAAAGCCTGTAGGTAATTATTCTACTCACCAGAACAAATTCAATAAGCTGTAGTTGTTCTGGTGACTGTAGTGTCCCTTTAACTACTTTTAGCTAGAAGGAAGTCTCTGAAGCATACCTATTGAAGGCTTGCCTGTTGGTCATTTACTAAGGTGAGTCAATGAGGACAGGTACAGTTTTCAGATAACCAGAACCTGACAACCAGCACTGTTTGATACTTCTAAAGTGTTATTATAGTGCATAGTTATAGCTTATGGCATAGTTTATATAGTGCATAGTTCACAGTATCTCAGTAGATGTACTTACAGTGACATTGCCGCTAAGTACTTTGCATTGCCTGTTTGTAAAACAAAACAAAAAAATATACTGAATACATTTGTCACTTAGCTTCTCCAATAAAAAGGCAAGTTAATTATTCCATGAAAAGGTCTTTGATCTCCCAATTAATTTCCTAATCCAATGTTCAACTTTACACAATTCATTGCTAGCAATGTCAGTCATTATAAAATGCACATTCCATACATCTGCCAAGTTTAACCATCATTGTTATAACAGTATGTATTTACATTATTACACACTCTTTCTGTAAACCCTTCACACCCTTGGCCTTTGTGACGCTGTCTTTTTCTGGGCCTTGTCTTACCTCTACCAATGCTCTTGCAAAGGTAACTCCAAGCCTTTTAGGGGTTAGCATTTAACTTTTATTTTTCTTTAAACACTGTTTGTTTATATTTCATCATAATACAAATAAAACAGAAGCACTAAATATATATATTGCACCATGCATTTTGGAAACGTCATTATCCTGCATAGACAGTCATTACAATAGTGAACATTTGGTTTTTAACAATGAGAATCTGTGATTGTCGGTAAAGGACATCACTCCTCCCACCTACACCAAGGAAGTCTCTCCAGGGACCATGAAGGCAGTGGTGCCTGAGTGGGGCAGGTGCTTCATCACCAGTAGGCCTCCCAGCTCCCTATGATATGTAAGGTATGCTGCCTGTGCACTATGCTTCCTTAGGGGGTGCTGAGGGTTATCATCTTAGAGAAAGTGGTACTGCCATGGGGACCACATTTTCTCAGCTATCCTCCTCTGGGGGATTGTGAATGTGGCCATAAGCTCATATTTAGATTTAGTATGCATCATCTCTGTTTATTCCCACATGGTAGGGATTTTTTGGC